TTTTATTTTAATTTCAATTCAATTCAATTCACTGTCAAAATTGACACATCGGAAATTCGCTGCACTGTTATAGTGTCGAGGCGAAATACTTTATTTTTCGCTGTAATTACGCATTTTGACAATATATGTAGATGAAGAGTTGTATTTAATTGGAAATTCGCTGTCTGGTCGACCTTATAATTGGGCCATGGAATAGACATTCTGGTATTTTTTACCACAAAAATTGGGGCCCGTTTTATCCACTAACTTTTATCCGATGGCCATCCAAAAATGCTTGGCAGGGCCAATACCGAACGCCTACTTAAAATTTCCTAAGGATCGAACGATAATTATGACTTGTCAGAAAATTTTCAGTTTTTGGTCCATTTGAAACCCTAAATATTTTGCGATCATCTCCAAAAACATTAGGCTTCTATTCTGACACTAACCCCATCTCCATCCAACATTTCGTAAGGATCTTGCCATAAATGTGCCCGGGATATAATATCCTAACTATATGGTGTTGTAAGAAGTAAAAATATTACAAAATGTAAAATTTAATATTAGGTGTGTCTGGTTACTTTTCCTGCAGGAATTGTCCAGCAACATCTTTCTGATGGAGTAAAGTAGTTTTATTCTCTTTTCAAGGAAAATGCGAAAAGTAAACAGATGGTATTCCTGCAGAAGCTTGCAACTAATCAGCTGTTTTGTCAAAACAAACCAATTTGTCCCCCACTAAAAGAATTAAAAGAAAGGAAGCACCACCAATTCCTGCAGAAGCTTGCAACTAATCAGCTGTTTTGTCAAAACAAACCAATTTGTCCCCCACTAAAAGAATTAAAAGAAAGGAAGCACCACCAATTTTAAAAGTCTTATAAATAAAAAGAAAATTAGCAATAAAATACAAATATGAGCAATAAAAGAAAGATCGATTTTATGTGTTCCCCGGAATTCTTTAGATGTGTTGCTAATGGCGATTGTCTAAAAATGTTGGAAATAGTCTTTTATTTCCTTATTACATATTAATATTTACGTTTTCCACATTTTTTAAAGTTGTTCTCCAAAAACAATTAGTCTTTCAAATTCCAAAAAAATATTTTCAAATTAAAAGCACAAAAATAAATAAACAAACAATAGAAAACATCTGATTGAATGTCGATGAATGAGAAGAAGAAGAGTTGCAAGTGATTGCAAGAAGAAATTTGTCCAGCAAGAATTTGCAAACTCTCACTGAAAGAACTGTCAAAATTTCTCTCTGCAACCGCTCTCTTTTGTAGAACTTTCGGGTTAACAGACGACTTCCAGTAACAATTTGTAACAATTGTTACAAATTTTAGGGTAATCAGACACACATATTGTTCAGAAAACATTCAAATTCGGATGTTTTCAAAATGTTTATTTCATCGTATGCATCGACAAAATCTAGAGTTTTTGTAAAGAAATAATCCTTTAGAGATATATAGAACCTGGTTTTGAAAGAAGTGTTGACCTTTCATGCAAGCTTCTGCAGGAATACCGTCTGTTTACTTTTCGCATTTTCCTTACAAAAGAGAATAAAACCATGGTACAATGAAGAGAAGGTAGGTCAACTTTGAAAAAATTGCAAGTATAGAGGTCTACCTGTTTGGCTTGTAATGTCAGAATTGCTATCAAAACAATAGTTGTGTTCCAGTACTTTTTTAGTAGTAAAACTAGCAGAAGAGAGAACAGTTTGAAATGTCATTCTCATTAAGGTTTACTCAAAAAATAAGGGAACGGAAAATTAGCAGAAATGCGATAAAATGTCAAAATTCAAAATTTCAAAAGTAAACAGCCTAAATCGGACTGGTGAAACCTTACTGAGAAGATCATTTTCTTTATTGAAATGTATCAATACATTTTTCAACCTTGATAGCCCTGCCAATTAAATGTCAAATTTACAATATGCACATTTCTGCTCGGCCAAATTCATGTAGCTAAAACAAGCAGAAATGTGCACCACTCAGCGCCATTTTTTTCTCGAGAGAGCTGCAAGTTTTGCTAGTTTTTGGAGTACGGGAACGCGTTGTAGCAGAATTAGTGCTAATTAGTACTTATTTGCAGGTTCTGGAACACAACTAATAAAAAAGCAAACAACTTGTTGCATTTACTTTGAATAAATAATTGAAAACCGCGAAAACTGAATGAAAAGTCAACACTTCTTGTCAAAACCAGGTTCTATCTATCTCTAAAGGATTATTTCGCTACAAAAACTCTAGATTTTGTCGATGCATACGAAGAAATAAACATTTTGAAAACATCCGAATTTGAATGTTTTCTGAACAATTTTTTTGTTATTGAAAAGAAAACACATACATAAACAAATAAAGATGACATATTAAGCCAAGAAAATAAAAAAATTAAAATCATATGGTATCATAGCCCTACCTTGATATCATTGTACCATGAATAAAACTACCTTTTCTCTCAGAAAGAAGTTGCTGGACAATTCCTGCTGGAAAAGTAACCAGACACACCTAATTTTTTTTTTTTGTTATTGAAAAGAAAACACATACATAAACAAATAAAGATGACATATAAAGCCAAGAAAATAAAAAAATTGAAATTATATGGTATCATAGCCCTACCTTGATATCATTGTACCATGGTACCATGCATGGTACAATGATATCAAGGTAGGGCGATGATACCATATGATTTTAATTTTTTTTTATTTTCTGCTTAATATGTCAAAATAATTGCAACAAGTTGTTTGATTTTTTATTATTTTGATACTAATTCTGACATTACAAGCCAAACAGGTAGACCTCTATACTTGCAATTTTTTCAAAGTTGGCCTACCTTCTCTTCATTGTACCATGGTAAGAAGTAAAAATATTACAAAATGTAAAATTCAATATTGTAAGTCAAAATGAAAATATCCCATTCGACAAAAATGTGACGAAATGAAAAAAATATAAGAAAATATCACAAAATCGATATGCTCATCCTTATTGGGATCTTTTCATGCGTTTTATTCGATTTTTTTTTCCTGTCAAGAGGGCATTCTGAATTGACAAGATTTATCAAAATCAGTCCATCTATTTTTGAGATGTAAGTAACGGTCAGAATTGACCTTTTCGTCTCTTTGTAATGTTATTATAAATATTAACGGTTTAATGGGAAAATTGTTTTTTTAACACAAAACTTATGGTATATTTCACCCGCTCAATATTATCCGATGACCATCCAAATTGGACTGCTTCTGCCCAGTCCTAAGCTCTAGCCCGATGCTAAATTCCGCGTCGATTAGTCTATAATTGTGACATGTAGCGTGATTGCAAATTAACATAGCTAGATCGGCTTAGTTCAGCGAGATTGGAGGATCAATATATATTTTTTATGTGGGAAGCCGAAATTTCGAATTTGTGGCCCTATCAAACTTATAACACCCCCAACACATAGTGCTGCAGGGTTTAAAAATGTATTTATATTTAGCATTATTTTTTGTATTTTAATTTTTTTGTTTGGCATTTTTTAGCATTATTTTTATGCTGTTTTAGCTGCAACACTATTTTAGATTTGGTCAAATTGATTCCGTCTGTTTACTTTTACCTTACTCTCTCAGAAAGAAGTTGCTCAGAAATAGTTTCCCAGAATTAAGGATGCAAATACCTACCTCTGGATAAAAAATCCGAAACTTTTGACTAAACTAGAGCTTTACAAAAAATAAAAATGTTAATGGGAAACTAGCATTTCGGTAAAATATGTGAGCCGAAGGAAGAAAGGGAGATTCAGTTGAAATCCGAACAATTTAACCCAAAATATGCAATGGGAAAAAAGAGTTCCAAAATTAATTTATTACAGCTTGCACTACCCGAATTCAATACCATAGTGATGTGAGTAAAAATTCATTTTAATGGTAAGTTTTTATTCACATACATATCTTATAAAAAATAGTATATTTTTATGTACCTTTTTGCAGCGGAACAAACTTTGAAGATATGGATGGTTTTCGATATATGATAAGAGAAAAATATTATAAACAACAAGCCAAGACTATGCGTTTATGTATTCTCACATTAAAATGAAATTCATGCAATTCTGGAACATACCAATAAAGGATGTATTACCTTTCTGCGGTATTATATCAAAACTGCAACTAAATGTTAATGATGTCAGCTACCCTCTGGGAATTCCGTTCAAAATGTGGCTAAAATCATCAAAATACCGTTACATGGGGGCTATACGATATAGACAAATGTATGTAATGTGTATAGCCTATCTTCGAAATTGATCTGCCTGCAGACAAAAGAGAGATATCTGCAAAATTTTAGCTTTATTTCTTAATTCATCTTGACTGTAGCGTGATTACAACAGACGGACGGCCGGACAGGGGTAAATCAACTTAGAATTTTACGCTGATCAATAATATATACACTTTGTTGGGTCTAAAATTATTATTTCGATGAGTTACAAACGGAATGACGAACTTAATATACCCTCAATACTACATATGGTGGAGGGTATAAAAAAAACAAAAAAGCTCAAAAAAGGAATTTTGTGCAAAAATGTCAATTACAGAAGCAATCGTGTAAAAATTAATAAAATTAATTTGCTTTTCGCACAAAAAACTCTTTTAAACAGAATATTTTTCACAATTTCCACTTCTGCAATGTTTTCTAATCATATGGTTTATTTTGATTCCTCATTCATTCGTTCTTTCATTCCTCTAATGTTGCCCTATTTATACTAAATAATGATCGTACGAAATCTGAAGAAGCTAAAATAAAAGTGATCGAATCTGAATTGCGGAATTTAAACCATTGCGATTCGATTCCGCGACATGTCTGACACATTTTCAATGTCATTATAATATGAACTATATGTTCAATATCATTTTACAGAAAATTTAAACTTATTTCCCTTACTGTATATCAATAATTAGTGTTCACCGTGACTTTATTTATAACTTTTTGTAATAGCAACACTCTTTATAACTATAGTGGATTTAATATTCTCAATCATTATTATTATTATTGGCTACTGTTTGGAATAAAATATTTATGCATATTTATAAACTTTATTAGATTATTTTTTAGATCAGTTGGGGAAAGTCAAAAATGTTGTTCAAAGCTCAAAGAAAAAATATGATTAAAATACATTTACGATATAACAGTACGTTTATATATATGAGGGTTAACCTACTGGATTTGGATTTAAATTGTCATATCCATTACTTTTACTTCAAATAAATCCTCTCAAAGTAGGTTGTTGATTAATAAATTACAATAAATTTTAGTTTGTAAATATGTCATCAGGTAGAGAAGAGTAAGCTCCCAAATTACCACTCAAAAATGTATTCTCAAAGGATGTGTTAAAAATTGTGTTTTGAGAAGAATTGGGGGTGCTATTGTTGGTAATACTAGTGTTGGTTACAGTGTTTGCTATGCTACGTTCATCCCTCGGAGTTCTCTTATCGTCCTCATTGTCATCAGAAATATCATAGGCTCTACCATCTCCGTCATCGTCTGCTGGCTTATCACTAGGTGGTTCCAAATTTGTTGACAATATGGCGCGACATCATTTGTCCCAAAGGCCCAACTCGCGCATCTTAGTTTGGTAGTAGCGTTCCAAGTTATTGGCACAACGGTAATACTCGGTTTCTGGTGAGTTATAGAAACGACAATTAGAGAAAATACGAGCCATGTCAGCCATGAACAGTCGTCTTGTTACATAATATCCCTTCTTAAGACGTTCTCCCATTGTCTTCAGGTCCATTGGATATTTAATGTGATCATAGTAATCGGGAACTTCAGCAACAGTAACCGGTTTTAAGAATGGCCATGCGGATGCATGATGTCGTACAGATTGTAATACAGCAGCAAATGAGGCAGCTAATTTTTCAGGATCAGATGACTCTTCTAATGGCCTTCCCGTTCGGTGCGCCCGCATTTGAGGTTTCCAACCGATTTCTCTCAGTCCAGGTATTGATTCTACTGGTATTGATGGCAATCCCTCTTTGAAACATGTTAATCCCGGTCGAACCTTTTGCACATCATTGTGACGTTGGGCAATGAGCTCTTTCAATATTTCGCTTTGTCGGCGTATTACTAAAAAAAATTATTTCACAATATAGAATTTTATTTCATTTTCGTAGCTTACCGGATATAAATTGCGTGTTTACAATGCTGGGATGTAATTCACAGTGCATCAAAGTTGCTCCATCATATTCTTTTATGTAACCAGCATATACTGGCCGCGCCAGTTTTATGTCCTTAGAGAATCCTTGTTTTTTAAAGTATCCAATGGCGTCGCAATCAGCGTATGTTAAAAGATGTAATATACCCTTTTGAATACTGTAATCCTTTAAATGGTTCATTAAATGTGTACCATATCCTTTCACTTGTTCCGACATGGTGACGGCGCAAAAAACAATTTCAGTAAAACCCTGGCTTGGAAATGGTCGGAAGCAAATACCTCCAATTGGCATATTTTCTTTAATTAAAGCCAATGTTTTATGCTTTGTATCAAATACCAATTGTGATATGTATTCGCGGGGCATTTCAGGTAGTTGATGTGCAAAAACACTTTGTAAACCCAACAACCAAAGAATTGTTTGTTTATCAACAGGTTTTGTCAGTGAATTACCCACAACATGAAACTCGATGGCACGTTTTTGTTCTTCTGCCTTAACATTTTCATCACGAGATACATTTACGGGAAACAATATTTCGGTTTTATTTATTGCCTTAGACTCCGAAACCGCTTTCATGGCACGAATCACTACATCGTCGGGAAGATCCTCGTAATAGACATCCCTATACAAAAAAGAAGATTAGAAAAGTGCTTTCATCATTGTTTAAAATTTAAATTTTACTTCAAATTAGTGTTTTTAAATCACACAAGATTTGCCTACATTTCAATTGATCAAATAACTAATTTCTATTATTGCGAAATCCAGTCAGGCGAGAATTTTTTTCACAACAATGTGAATTTGATTGCTGGCCAATAGATTAATCATCAATGATGAGTTTCACAAAATTGTAACGGATGGAATATTTATAAATATGTATTAAAAGCGTCTAGAAATATGCTCAATATCAAAATGTTATCATTCATGTAGCATACTTTTAAGCGAAAATGTATTTTAATTGTACATGTGTTTGATTCAATTAAATTCAGTTCTTCATAACAACATTTATATCATTAAAATACCATAGGGAAAACAATAACATCAGTTTATTTCACATTAATTTCAAAAGACAGTCTTAGAGGTTCTTTATTATATCTAGAATTCAATGAAGACTTGCAAACACAAACTTACCCAGTGGAACGCTCTGAAATTTCTTTTTTTACTCTTTTGTGGGCAGGTTCGCCGCTTCCAATTTTTTTAGAAGCGTTGCTACTGGATACTCCTGTGGCTGAAGCTGTCGTATCCTGTTGCCTTTTGCGTTGTTGTAAAAGGAAAGCCGTTGGTGGTCTATAAGACTGGTCCCATATTGGAGAGTCATCTTTAAGGAGTTCCGCTTTAAGAGCTTCCAAAAATTTTGGCATTTGCGTTATAATCGATCTTTTATCCGCCGGAAAGCGATCCCGTTCCGAAATACATTTTTTCTTAAGTTGCTGAGCCATGTATTGAAATACAGTTCTTAGCAAAGTTCTCCCAAAAACCAAAGACGTTTCAAAATGCCGAAGGGAGTTACAAAAGGCAGGCACATGACAGAAAACTAACCATCGGGTATAGTTAATCTTGTAAGTGGAAGCGTCATCATTCTTCAAATCGGCTCTCCGCATTGAAGGGGGTTCAAAATTGTAATGATTAAGAAAATTCAAAAAGGTTTTAGCAACCTCAGTCATAGTTTGCAATTCATTTGGACTCAAGTGGTTGTATTTGTAGAAGACAAATGAATAAACAGCCTTGGCAATGCAGGGCGATTCAAATGGGGGATCTCCCAACGGACCTCTTATTACTGCCTGTTGTCGCGTTATAACGCACTGTCGCAGTAAACGAAATAGATAAAGGTATACCTTTTTTGTATCATCATCATCAACTCTTTGCATAGACATGAACAAATTCTCCATATCAATAATTGCTCCCAGGAAGTTGTTCATCTCAGCGGCCGAAATTCCATCTAAGTGAGAGATATGGCTCTGCAGTGAATGTCGGCAACTAGTATTCCGACATTCTTCACTAAATTCAGGGCAATAAGACGATTCAACATCACGGTGGCGATTTTCTTGTGGCGTTTTCCATCCTGTGCACCGACAACCTTCAGCTTGACAAGCTGAGTACATGGAAAGTTTGGCTAGTTTTTGAGCCACGGGCAAGTTGAAAACTTTTTGTTTTCGTTGTTGAATGCGTTGTAAACTGTTTTGTCGGCTCCCTTCGGCTGGAGCCGAACCTGCGCCACTGCCTGCGTTACCACTATTCTGCTGCCGATCGCTGCCATTGGATCCAACATTTTGTTGCGCGTTTGATGGGTGTTGAACTGCATTGTTGGAACCAGATCCGTTCGCCCCCGACTCGTCTTCTTTAAGTGTAATAAGCGAACCACCGGACATAATTTACGTGAGCTTCTACTTCTGAAGTATGTTTAATTTTGTGCAAAAAGTTATGGCTCAGCCCCAGTAATCCTAGAAATGCAATTTCACAATATCAAACAAAATATGTCTGTACTAGTGCTGGCAAGATATCGATTGTAATGCCAATGGTGCCGATAGTTTCTTGCTTACATTAATAGGTGCGTTCGTTTCACGCGTATGTGGAACCATAAATTGAGAAAAGATAATCAATAATAGGTCAGATCCAGAACTACAAGAAGTGCCCTTTATGATATCGAAGAAAATTACAAAACTAGTAAATGTTTGCTGTTCGAAAACAGAGCATGGCAATTCGTCAATTCATTTTTCAATATTCAATTTTCAAATTCAGCCAAACAACTTTCCTGATTATAATTATTTAAGTTATTATTTTTTCTATAGCAGAAACGTGCAGGTTTCGATATCATAGAGGAAAAAATCGAATTTCGTAGAAACAATTTTTAATTTTTGCAAGGTCTGTTACAAAGCAATTGTTAAATTATTTAAAAACAGTCACGGATGCTATCGTAAAAGGTAAACAAACAGGCCCAATAATAGTTTCTAAAACAATCGATAACCGATAACTGAATAAGGTACTGTACTCTATGTTTCTCTATATTAAATATAACTCAAAAAGAATTTCAATTTCACAATATTTCGAATTTGTGTTTGCTGGGGCGATCTCTCAATAAAGACTGAGTCAACTCAACTCTCTTCCAAAGTGGCACCAGGGCGTTTCCGGAAGAAAACTAAATGAAATATTTGAATTTTTAAGTGCATAATAGTTTTCGAACTCCACGGGAGGAGAATAAGGAATAATAAGAATAAGGCCTGCCATTTGTAATCGCCTTGACATGAATGTACATGTTTATTTCATTATACGGCTTACATGCAGTAAACCCGCAATTCTTAATTTAAATGGATTTCGACGAAATTCTGGAAAGTCATTTCATTAAAAAGGTTTCTAATGAAGATGGCCAAGAGAAACGCAAGGAAATAGGAAGAGACAGAAGTTTAAAAATTCATCATTATGTGCCTTGTACACTGAAACATTTATTAGCCCTGAATGAACGAAATTGTAAAGAAAACAATGTCTTCACTATATTGGGAGGACGTATATGCTTTAAGAACTGCTTGGTATATGGTACAATCATAACAAAAACCAGAGAGAAGGATAACAAGTACTCATACATTTTAGATGATGGAACCGAAAGTATAGAAATAACTATTTTCCGAAAGGACAAAAACTTGAACCATGTTGCAAAATTGCAAAGAAATACAAACGATATAATGGAATCCTCTGAGGACGAAACATCCCGTAAGCTGAAAAACATACTGTCAGCAACAAAAAATGTGCTCTTTGACTACAGTATTTCATCCGGCACAAAGGTTTTAGTGTACGGTAGACCTTCATTTTATTGCGGCAAAATTTCATTGGAAATTTTTAATATAATACAAGACAACAGACATGACCATTTAATGGAAATTGCGTTCAAGGACGAAGTCATTGACTGGCACAAGAAGCATACAATTAGCAAATTAAATTAGTTTATTTTTTAATAAAAAATCATAACACGTATTTTTTACAAGATTTTTTTATTTCCCGTTTGTTCTAAAAATATAAAATGAACCTCAAAAAACGAACCAGTCGTGTTTCATGTATACCTCAAGTAAGTGTCCTGTCGATGATCTGGTTCGGTTCTTTGCATAGTTATTTATTAAATGGAGAGTAACACGATACATAAATCCCTTTACTTTTTTACGTAGTCTTTGCACGAATAGCAGCACGCTTGCCAGTAACAGCCTGGAAACCGGATTTAATACTGGCCACCGAACAACGGGAACCGCATGATTCGCACTGTAGGAAGAATATACGTGTATCTTTTTGTAGAATTGTTTCGGGGGAACGACATGTGTGGCAGGTGACATATTCCTTAATGTATCTACGGAGCACATTCTCAATCTGTTTAGGTTGAAAACGTCCCTTAATGATCAATTGTTGATTACCATCAAGAGAACCACTAGTACCCAATTCAGCCAGAAGGAAATCCAATAAATGTTTCGGCAAACGATGTAACGTTCTGGCAATATCGAGGAAATTTGCAAATGAGGTTTTCTTCGTGCCCACACGCAATACTTGTGGAGGTCTCATTACAAACTTGGGTTTTCGACCGGCAGCCATTTCGGGATTTTTATCCAATATTATGCTGAAAATGCGTTTCAAGAGTTCATCATATGTGTAATCTGCAGCAGGAGCATCGACATCTGCACCTTCGTCTGCATCCATCGACTCTCCAGTTTTTTCTTCACCCTGTGTTTCCTCGCCCTCTACTTTAGGAAGAGCACCTTCCAAATCGTCCAAATTAATGGCCTTCTTCTTCTTTTTCTTCTTCTTGCCAAAGCTTTCCAAATCCAGATTGTCATCAATTTCATTTGCTGCTGTGGCATCTTCGTTTGCTACCTCTTTTGTTTCTTCTTTTTTGGAACCATCGTCCAGACCTAATGCGGCATCCAAATCAAAGGTCTTCTTCTTCTTTTTCTTCTTCAACAAAGTGGGATCAAACTGAAAACACACATTGAAAATAAATAATTAAAAGGAGCACCACATTCTAATGCAGACATAACCTCAAAAAGTTAATATCGACTTGTATGTCCACATTTCACAAATCCTAATAATTTAGCCTGTGTACTTACATCTTCACCATCCATAATTGTAGAATTTATATTAATTTCTCTATTCAATACCTTTCAAAATATTTTATTCGATATTACTTGTTTTATTGCATCAGAAAGAAATCGCACAAACTTTGAGACTGTTTAATGTTGTGTGTGCGCGATGACTGATGACGACGACTGACATTTAGCGCATTAGGTAAATGTATGAAAAACGTAAGGTAAGCGTATCGGTGGGGTATCTACTGCAATTATGGCACAACATCCAATTATAACACAATTTGGTGTTTATACAGTATAAATTATCTTAAGTAAGATTTGTGTTTAAAGTCATTTTATATAAAATTGTATTTAAAAAGATTAAAAACATTTACCATTACTGTGATTTCGACTTACTCAGTCGACGCTTTTCAGCACACGAGAGATGCACATGTCAAACTGAAAATATCTCAGCGATATAAAATATGAAAAAAAAAAACATACTAAATGTAACAAATAAACGAATGAAAGTATTGGAAATATAACAATTTCATGAATTGTATATATTAGTCATGGTAGAAGAATATAGGTAGATGCATCAACGCTTGAGAATATTGATGTGTCAAAAATTTTGAAATGTTTTTTATCAAAATTAAGTATATTTTTAAATGTGTTGTTATTCGTCTACCATGCAACGAAGAGTATAGGTATACGCATCGACACAGCAGCTCGGACAATGAACTGTCAAACCAATTTTGGAATTGAAAATGTTGAATGAAAATTATTTAAATTTGTAAAAATTGTTGAAAAATACGAATTATAATAAACTCCGAATTACGTCGTATAAGAAAACATATAAAAATCTACTTATATTTGAAAAACATTTAAATTTTTTTTGACATATCAATGCTCTCTAGCGTTGATGCATCTACCTGTATTCTTCTGCCATGAGTGGTTGTTATAATATAAATTTTTCAACAATTTTTACAAATTACAATAAGAAATTTAAATTGAAAATGTTAAATGAAAAATTTTTCAAATTTATAAAAATTGTTGAAAAACACGTATTATAATATCCTCCGAATGTATATTTCAAAAGAAAAGTTCAAAACATGAATGAAAATTGTTAAATGAAAGATAAAATAAATCTTTGGGGAAAAAATAATTTGTTCTATTATTATTAATGCTAATTTCATGTATTTTCGTACAAATTATTATAAAAATCAACAAACAAAAAATTTGAGAAAAGGAAATATCATGGTAGAATTAAGTCATGCATTCATATGTTTACAATTTTTTTTTTTATTCATTTGACAATAAAGATGGGAACATTTTTTTATTCAGTGAAATTTGGCAAGGTAAATTACAGAAAATGCAGAAATGGATAATCTTATTTAAAATGACTTTAATTTCTTTAACCATGGGAATTATGTTACTATGAATAACGAATAGTTCCGTATGAACGGGTTAATTCGTGTACCTAATTCTGAGAGCGAATAACGTGATTGAAAGTGCAATGAATACATAGCATAAAAGTTTTACTACGACAACAGATTCTTCATATTATGATATAAAAAAATACAAATCTAGTAGATTCTGGCAGGTTTTGAAATAGAGCAAGATTTTAAGATATGGATCTCTCCAAAGCTGTAAACATGGAAGAACTAAGAAGGTAGTTATGTAATCATATGTTCATAATTAATTTAAATTTATACATTTGATATCTCATTGTCAAAATCTATATTCTTAAATACATTTTATACACACAAACTGTTTTTTGTGCATTGGAATTTGACAAAGTAAATTACAAAAAATGCAGTGCTGGGAAGTTACATTTATTTCATTGTACTATGTCTGTAAATATGAATTGATCTTTTTCTAGAACCGAAAGAATGTACAAATTTTTACTACTATAACCGATTTTCCCTTTATGATATCGAAACAAATTGCAAAAATAGTAGATTTTAGGGTCTCATTGATTTTGATATAGTAATTGAAAACCGCTAAAACTGAATGAAATGTCAAGATTTCTTTTCAAAATCTTCTTCAATATACCTATAATTTTGAATAATTCTGACAGGAAGCGGGCATAGCCTCAGGGCTGTATTCCTGCAGTTTTACGAAGCTGTTCTACCTTCTTATTGTACCATGGGTACATTGAAATAAATAAAAATTTCAAATTAGCATTCCCAGGTCTACATTTTCTGTAGTTTACCTTGTCAAACTTTAATGTATAAAAAACAGTTCTCATCTCTGATTTTGTGTGTATACAATGGATTTATGATATAGATTTTGACCACGAGATGTTGTCAAATGAATAAAAATTGTGACTTTACCTTGTTAGTTTTACCATGATGCATACGTTGTAATAAGCATTTTGAACACACACGAATTTGAATTATTTCTAAACAATTTTTTATTATTGAAAAGAATACACTTAAATAAATGAAGATGACATATTAAAAAAAAAATAAAAATCATATGGTACCATAGTCATACCATGTGAACTACTTTGGAAATTATTGTACCATGGAGAGAAATATTCACAGCTAGTTAACGCTTGCGTTTCGAAAACCACTAGAATTATTATATCCTGAAATATCGTAAGACGCATAACAACTAAATCACTATAATAGTTTGAATGGAAACAGTGCTTTGCTTAAAAGTCATAACTGCTTTACTGTAACGTATCGCTAATGGAACTGCTTATTGATTAGCAACATATATTAATCTGGCAACATCTACGATGTGTCGTCCAGCTCTAGTATTTTATTATTGTTTCTTTGGTTTTACTTTGGGCGTGCCTTCATACTGTTAGTTATTGTTTTGCATTGTTCTTTCTTTTGAAAAATGTTCTTAGAGTCTTAAAAATTAACGCAAACATGTATAAAATATTATCAATTGTCGCTTTGTTGTTTACTATTGGCAAAATACAAGGTATGTTTGTTTATGGAGTGCATATATGTACATGTTTAATATTAGGGCGTTGGTGTCTAAACCAAATGAAGCACTTTCGTTGCACCAAAATTAAATGAGGTAAAATACAAATTAAATTGTATATTTTTATTTTAGCTCAATATGATTTTACTGAACAAAGGGTGGACCATGTCATTTGGTGTACAAAGAGTGTGGAAGAACAATACAAGTGCCAAAATTTAACCTTAGCAATTGAAAGAGATCGTGCCCTTTTTGACGACGCTTTACTTAATCTGACATGTTTTAAAGCATATAGTGCGGATGAGTGTATTCATCACATTGATCGTGAAAATGCCCACATAACATCATTGGATGCTGGAGATGTTTTTACCGCAGGACGTTACAATTCATTGATACCACTTATGCAAGAAAAATTTGAAGGTGGTTTTACGAACTATCATTCGGTGGCTGTTGTTAAGTCTGGAACATTGCAGGACGTAACAAGTTTAAGAGATTTGCGTCAAAAAAAGGCTTGTTTCCCTTGGGTAGGGAGTTTGGCAGGATGGATAGTTCCTATATACACGGTATACAATTTGTGACGAATAACATGAGTCCAGCAAATATATTTATTGTTTATTCTTAATTTAGCTGCAACGAGAGGGCGGAATGGAAGTCGTTGATTGTAATAATCAGGTGAAAACCGCTGCCAATTACTTCAACAACTCTTGCGCTGTATACTCGCTAATTGATAAATATAACCCTATTGGTGATAATTCTGATAAGTATGTTTAAGCTAAGCTTTCGGAACAATGTGCCAATTGAATTGTTTCCTTCTTTTAAAGGTTGTGTACATTGTGTACCGGAAAAATTCCGGTAGGTAGATGTTCTGCGGCTGATCCCTATTTTGGTTATGATGGAGCATTCCGTTGTCTTCTAGAAGCTGGCGATGTTGCTTTCTTGCGCGATTCCACTGTTTTTGAAATGCTTGAAACACCTGAGTTTAGTAAGTACTGTATCTAAGTAGATTTATGCATATTATGTTCTTAGTTATATCAATTGTGTCTTATTATCGGATACGGATGAATTTCGGATAATCCCTCTCCCGACTAATTCAGTAGCAGGTTTAGTATTTGATTTTCAAATTTATTAATTTAAACTAACGGCTTAATTCCAATATCGTGTTAAATATTTAATGTATTACAACAGCATATTTATGCGAATAGACGGAGCAAGTAAAAACATTTTATTTAATGCATATGTTTAGTAGTGGGAAAGGTTTTTCATACCAAAATATATATTGCTTTACTAACTAATCTCAATATACAGGGTGAGATAAAAAAACTGCAACAAAGTTAAACACCATATTTTTTAATTTTTTCTTTTAAATTTTATTGAATGAAAGCAAAAAATATCGGAAATAGCATCAAATTTTAGAATAAGTTTAGATTTGTGCGAATTGGTCATCTTTGGCAGGAATTGCGGACTTCAAACGGCCAATGAAACCGTAACACGCTGTCCAAATGTTGCTATGCGGTATTTTGGCCATTCCCGGCGAAGCGCTTGCATGAGATGATCGACTCTTTGGTATTTTTTAGTGCCAACCTTGCTTTCCAAAATACTCTAGACACAATAGTCCAACGGATTGGTATCCGGAGATTTTGGTGGCCATAGTGCGTTGGAAATGAAGCGAGGAACCTCATATTGTAACCATTCTTGGGTGGCGCGTGCTGAGTGCGATGGTGCTGAGTCATGCTGTAATGTCCAAGGTCTGAGGCCAAAATGTTTCTTATTTTTTTTATTTATTCTGATGCCACGGTCGAATAATACAAGCGGAGAGCGACCATCGGATGTTATGGCGGCACACCATCACCATGGCCGGCGCTTGAGCTCTGGTGGCCAACCGAAGGTGCACATTTTCAGCTGTCCTCTTTGGCAAGTAAACACAATCATTTTGTTTGTTTACAAACTGCTGGGCAACGAATGTTTTCTCATCGGAGAAAACCAAATTCGGCAGTTCACCACTTTCGGCCAAGCGAAGCAACCCTTTAGCTCTTTTGAATCTATTTTTTTTCTAAGGAGGTGTAAGTTCTTGCACTTTTTGGAATTTTAATGGCTTTACCCAGAGCTCATTTTTCAATTTTTGCCGAATGGAATATTGCGATATGTTCAGCTCACGAGCCATTTTTCAGCCACTGCGACGGGGGTTTCGATCAAATCGCTTCTTTACTTTTCGGACCATTTCTGCTGATGTTGTTTTCATTCGCGCAGTATCACGGTAACGAGCGATGGTACGAAACAGTTTTAAATGCTGGATTTCTCTAACGACAGCCACTTGTGGCTTTCCAGCCAAATATAAAGAAATCACACTATCACACTTGAATTCCATCACGAATAACTTTTTTCCTTGGAAATTCTCACCAAAATGCTTTTGTACGCTTGAAAACAATATAATGAGCTGTCAGTGGAATAATTTTAAGAGCTGTCGGACGAATGGCATAGAAATTACAGCAGTCTGAAGTTGGTTGCAGTTTTTTCATCTCACCCTGCATATCTTTATATAAAATAAATGTAACATAAATAATATAAATTATTAAACTTCAGACTTAAGTCGTTTTCTAATTCGAATAATTAATGTGACATTATTTTGCCTCTCGACTTTATTATCACGCATTTTCATGATTTTATAATTTTTTAAATGATAAAATTTCCGAAAATAAATTCAATCGTCTATATTTCATCATTAATTTGTCTGGCAAAACCGTTTTTAACATTTCCCTCATTTTTAATTACAGAAAACATTTCACCAGAGCGTTTTGAGCTATTGTGCCGTGATGGTAGGCGCGTTCCTATTTCAGAATTTCGACAGTGCAACTGGGGACTTATACCATCCGATGCGATTGTAACATCATCAGCAAGAACATTTTTGGAAAGAAAAAAATATCAAAAGTTCTTGAAAAAAATAATTGAGCTTTATTCAGATGGCCTAAAAGAAGATCCCCAGCTACAGACAGCATTGAATGGAAACAGAGGATTTAATTACAACAACAATTACAATAATGATCGTAACAACGCGTATGACAACTTTAATTATAATTCGCAGAACTACGACCAATATAATCGCAATCGTTTTTCTAATGCTCGGAACGATCGACTGGACAGCGGTTTTACAACCGACCGAACTACAGATAATCTTAATACTTCTGTGCAATATGAGAAGTTCAACATTTTCGAATCGAAACGTTATGGAAGAACAAACTTATTATTCCAAGTAAATTGACAGTTTTTTCCATTTATCATACGTTCATCTTTAGTTTTAATAAAATCTTTACTAATTGTTTTAGGATGTTGCAAAATCTTTAGCTGTAATAAACGAAGACGATCAATCCTTCAGCAAGTATTTACAGAGCTCCATTGATTATATTTATGGATTGCGTGAATGTCCTGTACCTGCAATGACTTTATGTGTAACTTCTGATCCCGAACTTGAGAAATGCATAAAAATGAGGGTAAATATAAAAAATAATGGTATGCTATTTAAATAGTCTTTACAAATTATCCTCCACATTTTCAGATCGCCCTCAAAGCCCAAATTCTGAAGCCGGAGTTAATCTGTAAAAAAATGCATTCCCACATTAACTGTATGCAGTGGATACAATCTGGTAAAGCTGATATTGCTGTCTTTGATGCCGGAGATGTATATACTGCAGGTTTAACATATGATTTGATTCCGTTTATGTCGGAGGTTTATAACCTCGGCGAACCCGAGTACTATGTAGTAGCCGTTGCCAAGGAAGAAGATCGCGACACAGAGTTGACCTATCTAAAGGGAAAATATACTTGCCACACTGGTATAAATACGGCTGCTGGTTGGACATATCCATTGGCACATATGATTTCGAATGGTTGGATAAGACCATATGGTTGCGATTCAATAAGGGCTGCAGCTGAGTATTTCACAAAGTCGTGCATACCAGGAGCCATAAGTAATGAATATAATACCGGCGTACCTTATGACAGTATGTGTGATCTTTGCCACGGAACTAGTTATCGATATTGCCGCCGTGATGCATCGGAAGACTATTACGGTCATACTGGCGCATTTCGATGTCTGGTAGAAGGCGGTGGACATGTAGCTTTTATGAAGCATACAACTGTCATGGAGAATACAGGAGGAAAGCGTAAAGAATGGTGGGCTCGTAATGCTTTAAACGATGACTTTGAACTATTGTGCACCGATGGCAAAAGGGCTGAATTGCAGGACTATAAAAAGTGCAATTTAGGCAAGGTAAAAGCGAATGCGATTGTAACTCGGGGTGGAGTTAATTATAACGAAACTGAGATTAATGCCTACATAAATCTCCTAACTTATGCCCAGCAATTATATGGTCGTAAGAATGTCGATGCTTTTAGTTTCAGCATGTTTTCATCGCCAATAAACTACTACGATCTTATCTTCCAAGATGCGACGCGACAATTGAAAGTTATTCCTCCAAATCAGAGACGTTATGATATTTATTTGGGAAGTGATTTTATGCGGGCCAGGCGTATTACCGATTGTCATGCTGGTTCCATGAAAATATCAACCTCATTCCCTATGATACTGTTTTTAACGGCATCATTAATTTATTTAGTAAGAATCTCTTTTTAAACACATTCATATCAACTTAGAGTGAAACCAAACATTCCAAACAAATTAACATTAAGTCGAACGATATTTACAAAGCTCGAATTGTTTTTAGGTACAAACTCATTGACTTTATATAGCACAACATATTTTAAAACTACAATTACGTAAAAACATAGATATACATAAAATTACAAAATGTATTTTATATACAAGTGCCTTTAAGAAAAACTTTTATAAAAGCAAGCAATTCCGTCCATTTTTGTGTTTGTTTAACATTTTCAAATAAATATAGAAATTTATACAATTTATTTAAATGTGTTTTTATGCTCTGCATAGAAGTTTGCAACTTCACAATGTATTAGTTCCTGGGTCGATCATGTGTTAAACAGTTCATGATGTTTTGATGAGATAAGTCGATCTAGATATATGTTGTGTCCGCTAATTTATCTTTGTCTATATGAAATCATTCTACAAGTCGCAATTAAAGTCCGAAGATTGCATGGGATTGGTGTCAGATTCTCACATTGGATTTTGAAGTGTGTGTGCCCGTGTGCGAAAACTAGGAAAATGTTTTAAACTTTGAATGTAATAAAGTTTAAAATCTAAATTGGTAATTCCTAGACGCCATAATTTTTTCTTAAAGAGCAGACTATTTTGATTTTTATTAATTCGAAAATACACATTCATATTTCAAATCGATATTTAAAAATGTCATTGAAAATGTCATTGTCATAGTCCTGAGTACTACGCCACATGGTAAAATAATTACAATGTAGGACAATATGATTAAAAAAACACAACCCTGAATCCAGAGTATTGTAGCTTCAAATTCACAAATAACAAATGCAACAAGTTGTTTTTTTATTTGACATTTTTCTCGCAATATTGTTATTTGGGAAGAGAATCGCGATCAATACGATTGAATTTATTTATATGTATATAATATGGTTTTAAGTTTCAATAAAATTCAACAATTTTTGAAATTATTTTTTTATTCAAAGCAATAAATACATAAGAAAAAAATGTATTTAGGTGATTGTTATGCCCTACCTTGTCGTTAAAATGTTCAAAATACCGAATATCGGAAGTTACCGTTATATGGGAACTATACGATAATGAGAAGGGACTTGGTCCATTTACGAACTTAACTCGCCTACTGGCGAAATACACATGTGTGCAAAATTTTAGGCTTCTATTTCAATTCGTATGAAAGATACAGACAGATTAAATTGTCTTAGAATTTTACCCTGATCCAAATTTGCAGGGTCGATCATGAATATTTCGACGAGTTACAAACGGAATGACGAAGCTAATATACCATTCATAGAATTGTATTCGTAGCCCCAATAGGTACTTAAGCCAAGATTTCTCTCAAACTTTACTCTTACGACATTCATTAAACTTTTGTAAAAATGTATGTGTTACACTTTTAAACTGTAACGGAATGGAATGACAATTTTTATAGAGTACTAGCTGAACCCGGTGCGCTTCGCCACCCCTTTTGACTTTATATGCATTCAAAATTTTGTTTACGAATATATGTTGGTTCAAAAAAAAAAAATATTGCACTACTTTAATGCGTAAATATACAAAACCATTAGAAACACGGTAACATGACATACATAAACGAAGGGTTCGACCTTCGGATTTATTTATTTCATAGCAAATACCAAGCGTGCAGGAAACTGCAATTTTTTGAAGTTAAGTGGCATTTCTATTGCAATTAGTGAATTCGAGATAGCAACATACTTCCCCGTAATAAGCGTATTTCAAATTAATAGTTGTGTTGCTTTTCAGTGTTAGCCTAAGGCGTTGTGGGCCAATCGTTCTTATTAAAATCATTTCCCAATCTGATCCGATTTAAATATAATTTTAAAAAATTTACTTTTACACCAAATTCCGCCACAACTTTCATATTTCATTGAAATTGGTGCGTCAAATATGTGAAATCGGCCGAGAATATATATATGGGAGCTATATCCAAATCTTAACTAACTTCCAATTAATTGATCACATTTATTATTATAACCACTTTCCGCCACACAATCTGAATTTCCTTGGAATCGGTCATATATATCGTGTTTGGTTCATAACATGTATGAAGTCGGCCGAAATATATATATTAGCTATACCCAAACCTCAACCGATTTCAATATAATTTGGCAATTTTTTTCTGGTGCTAGATTTCGTCTCTCTCGCTTTGGGTGCATCAAATATGTTAAATCAGCGGAAAATATATTTGGGAGCTATATCCAAATCTGAACCGATTTTAATATAATTTGACTAATTTTTTTCTAATCAAAATCCCATCACATATTCCAAATTTTTTTGGAATCGAATGTACATATCGTGTATGGTGCGTAAAATACATGAAATCGGTCGAAAATATATATGAGAGCTATATCCAAATCTGAACCGATTTCAATATAATTTGTCAAACGTATATTCGTTTTAATTTCCGCTTCACATTCCAAATTTCATTGAAATTAGAGATACATAGCGTGTTTGGTGCATCAAATACATGAAATCGGTCGAAAATATATATGGGAGCTATATCCAAATCTAAACCGATTTCAGTATAATTTGACAAATTCATTTTTGCTCCCAATTTCGTTACTTATTTTAAATTTCATTAAAATTGGACATACATATTGTGTTTGGTGAACCGAATCTGAACCGATTTCAATATAATTTGATAAATTTATTTTCGGATCAAATCCCGTTAAACATTCCAAATTTCATTGGAATCGAACATTAATATCGTGTTTAAAGCATCAAATGAACGAAATCGGTCGAAAATATATATGGAAGCTATATCCAAATCTGAACCGATTTCAATATAATTTGATAAATTTATTTTCGGATCAAATACCGTTAAACGTTCCAAATTTCATTGGAATCGAACATTCATATCGTGTTTGAGGCATCAAATGAACGAAATCGGTCGAAAATATATATGGGAGCTATATCCAAATCTGAACCGATTTCAATATAATTTGACAAATTTATTTTCGGATTAAATCCCGTCACACATTCCAAATTTCATTGGAATCGAACATTCATATTGTGTTTGAGGCATCAAATGAACGAAATCGGTCGAAAATATATATGGGAGCTATACCCAAATCTGAACCGATTACAATATAATTTGGCAAACTTATTTTTGTTCCAAATTCCGTTACGTATTCCAAATTTGGAGACTGTATCTTCAACCAATCAATAGATATGTGCATATAAAATCTAAATTTTTGGGAGGTACCTCCGATTCTGATGCTATATCTCCAGTTCCAAGTGGAAATTCAAAAATGTATATAGCCTATGTTACTTTCAGGCGATGTTGCAGCATATATGGAAATTTTCAGGAAAATCTATTCAGCGGTTTTCAAGTCCATAAATTACAAACAAACAAACAAACAAACAAACAAACAAACATACAAACATTTTCCTCTTTTATAGATATAGAAAAGTAGTCCCCAATGCACAGTGGTCGAGGTCGTATGGGAACAGCGGCCAAAAATACTTTCAGTGCACATATCAATATGAATCTTTGGTTATGGTACCTTGATGGGATAAAAATAAAAAATGTGACAAAATGGATATGGTCGATGCATGTTTTGGCATGGTCCCCTTACAACGTACCTCCCGAATAAGGGTTGTTTGTCCAATTCTTGTCACATTTCTACACCAGATTGTAATGTGATTTGATATTTTACGTTCTAAGGAGTTAAAAAATAATCTTACTGAAAATTATTTGGAACGGTCCGCCTTTACCTGCGGGTCCCCCTGTAGAGATACCTCTAAAAATAGAAGTAATTGTTTATATAAATCAATTCCAAATTTGATTTTTGTAAACAAAATAAAATAACAATTCAATATGAAATTAAATCAAAGTTAAATTTTGCACAAATAATTTGTTTGACCCAAGGCCCGATTGAAATTGTAGATAATCGGTCAAAATTTAGATATAGCTCCCATGGCTTGTTTGTTCGGGATACCGTAGTATTTTGTTGTTGCAAAATGGTCAGGCTTATCCCTTTATTGTTGTTTTTATAAAAACAACGTTTGTTTATTAGTGGAGAACGATGGTAATGTTTACCAGGGGGTAAGGCAGGGAATACCTAGGTTTCGGAAAGAGCCACCAATCCTCATCAGTTCCCTTGTTTTTTGTCTGGGATATTCTCCCCAGAAGTTATTTTAAAAATAACTTCTATGACAAAAAACATTTTTTACCCAAGTGACGAGATCGTAAGCTCAATAGAAGAGGAACCAAAGAATTAAATAAAACTAAAATTCTCTTGGAAAGTCTTCTAAATCTTACAACCGCACTTATAAACATTTTCATCTTTCTCCACTTGTTATGCTTTCGTTCAGCCTGAACGAAGTAGCATAACCATGTAAGTTGGTTTTGTAGACAAGGCACGGTCGACGAAGGGGTTTTTGTTGTAACAGACAAAACCAACTTACATGGTTATGCTACTTCGTTCAGGCTGAACGAAAGCATAACAAGTGGAGAAAGATGAAAATGTTTATAAGTGCGGTTGTAAGATTTAGAAGACTTTCCAAGAGAATTTTAGTTTTATTTAATTCTTTGGTTCCTCTTCTATTGAGCTTACGATCTCGTCACTTGGGTAAAAAATGTTTTTTGTCATAGAAGTTATTTTTAAAATAACTTCTGGGGAGAATATCCCAGACAAAAAACAAGGGAACTGATGAGGATTGGTGGCTCTTTCCGAAACCTAGGTATTCCCTGCCTTACCCCCTGGTAAACATTACCATCGTTCTCCACTAATAAACAAACGTTGTTTTTATAAAAACAACAATAAAGGGATAAGCCTGACCATTTTGCAACAACAATATAGCTCCCATATATATTTTCATCCAATTTGCCTTATATTGTGCACCAAACTTGTATCAGCCCAAATAGTATGGAATATACGTGCGACCAGAACTCTGTAACAACCATATTTGGGGAAATATATCAAATATAACTCAGAAATACCCTTGCTAAATTTTATCGAGATCGGTTAATATTTGGATATGGCTCCCATATATATCTTCGTCCGATTTGCTTTTTATTGTGCACCAAACGTGTAATATTAGCCCAAATGGAATGGAATTTGGTACTTACGGCCAAATTGAGCCTGGAAACCAGTATGTCAAATTTGGTGGAAATCGATTCAGATATAGCTATAGCTCCCATACATATTGTTCATCCGATTTGTTGAATTTGCTCTGCATAGCCGTAATGTGGACTCCGTAGTAACGATATTCGGGGAAATATATCAAATACAGCTCAGAAATACCTTTGTCAAATTTTATCGAGTTCGGTTCAGATTTAGATATGGCTCTCATATATATCTATCCGATTTCAAGATAATTCTGCACCAAATGGATAATACAAGCCCGAATTGAAAAGGCGCAAACGTCTCGACAAATTTAGTAGAAATCGATTCAGAGGAGGATATTCCTCCCATATATTAGTTCCTTTGGACTTTTTATTATTACTATAATCATATGATTTAATTCTTACAAATTCCCCATTAAAAACTTTATTTGTTATGTAAGGCTCTACTAAATATGCAAAGTGGTGTAGGGTAACATGAAGTCGGCTCCGCCCAACTTTAAGACTTTCTTTACTGGTTATTGTTTGGTAACGTTCGCTGTCCCGTTATAAAAGGGTCAGAGCTCAGAAGAAGACGGTTAATATGATCTGTGTTTGTTGAAACACGAGACTTTTTTCGGGTATGATTTAGTCGAAACTTTTTTATATCTTTGTTTCTAGACTCCACGGCCTCCTCCTATAATTATCTAATCTATACAATGACAAATTTCTAAAGTCGGGTGCATGTATTAAAGTTTTATGAACTGTGGGTGGAAGATAGTGCCATGGATATCTATTTGTTAACTTTTTAGCAGTTTCCAGTGCAATGGCCTTACATTTTTCAGCATTAATCAGAAGACAATGCTCGCAACATTATTGAACACCCCTCAATTACATCCTTATCAATCCCAAGCAACAAAAACATATTCTATGTCACTAGCACCATAGAACTGACAAAATTGCAGCGAAGTCACTTCAGTATATTGGGCATAACATACAAATCTGACAAAATCTGAAAGTTAAATTAGCACTTTTAAAATCTTAGGGCCATTACTAATGGCGTGAAAAGAATCACATTGCAGGATTCAGGGGGGAAAACAATTAAAACTTTACCTGAAATCCAATTTTATTTTCAAAATTAATTTTAAAGGCAACTCAGATCACTCACATCTTCTATATTATACACAACTACTAAACACACAAATTACTGCACTAAAAATAAGTCAATACCTTGCTTTTCAATAATAATGCCAAGATTTGTCGTTTTAAAATGTATTTAATTTTGTAATACAGTTCTATTTTTACTCCAATTTTTCACTGATCCCACTGAAAAAAGCAAATACCTACATTTTCTCTTTTTTGATGCTATTCTCGAAGTGGGCCGTTAGAATGAAGTCAAGATAATTATGTTTTCTAAAAAGCTTAACCTCTTAAGAGTTCAGGTGTACACATTTGACAATGAATATCTGATTTTCATTTTTTGAATTTTGGCCAATGGCAGCGACCACTGTGCAATGGTATAATTAACTTATTATCTAAAATTTGTCAACATATTCCCGTCGTCCTCAAAACAGCCTATTTTTCAATCAGCTGATGTTCCTGGATAATTTTTATTGAGTTAATTTTTCTACTAAGATTTTGCAAAACTTTCAGTAAGCCAACTTTCAGATGATATGTTCTCTTTAATCGCGCTTAATTACGGGACATTTGGGCTATAGAACAAAATTTTGTAATATTTTGTTCAAATTATTGCAATACATTGCGTTATCGTGAACACCTAATGTAAACAAGACAATAGGAATGCAACTCTGTTTACGTTACACATTGATGATTAACAGAACGAATAACGTGACATTCATCGTTTATATTTAGCAACGCCCACCAAACTCCGTGTTCCTTTGTTATTTGACAGTGACATTTCCCAGTTGGCGATTTTGTTTGGATTGAGTCGGGTCGGTGATTGATTGGGGTCTTCAAATATTTTCTCTTTTAAAATAATTTAAACAAAAAACACCTTTAAAATTAATCACAATGTCTATTAATTTGCGAACTGTGTATGCATTTGCTCGGGAAATGTACCAAAAGAAATCGAACGCTCGCATACAGTATGGAACAGCTGGATTTCGTGGAAAGTGAGTAACATAAAATATATGTAAATATTATGCTTCCGAGAGGTATCTCCACAAAATTCATAAAACACGTATGATCTATTTTTAGAAAAAGTTTACAATGAAATAATTTTATTCCTATAAAGACACACAGGACCCATTCTTAACGTTCCATAACATTGCGTGAATGTACTTCATTTGTTTATGACACATAAGAATGTTGGCTGAGTGCACAAAGAAAAAGTAAGCTGTGTAGCATTTCCATTGTTTGCTCAAGAGCTAAATGCCAAGTGGTCTGGTTTTTTGTTACAACAACTACAATCACACCGATTGGGCACAACCATGGCACAACTAAAATGAGTTTATAACAACACTTTTACTTTTCAAGTTGTTTTACCACCTTAGAGCTCTTGCATGCCACGACGATATCAAGAGATGGAAAAAAAAACTAGTTAAAGTATTACGACTGGAAATCAATGAGCCCAATAGTCATTCAAGCAAAGAAAAAAAAAAACATTAATATTGGACATACAAAAAATCAATATTAGCTCTCCAAAATGATTTCCACATTCTATTCGAATTGGGTCGAATCTGCATTGCTAAAAGAAGACTATCGCTGGACTGATATCCAAGAGTATTGAAAGTCTTGTCAAAAATTAATTTGGGATAATTTTATTTATGACTCGGGCATAACATGAAACCTATGAAGTTTATATATGAGATGTTTTAATTAAAAATGTATTCCGTGATAAGGAAGATTGGCATAAGTTGAGTTTAGGGGCTGTGCTCGGATTGACTTGAAATTTATACTACAGGTAGGTATTTTTAAACTGATTACGGCAATATAAATTTTTTGTGGGGGAAATAACCGGTTACCCGGTTATTGGACCCGAAAGTTCAGATACAATGTTCGGTTTTTATCCGGTTCCACTGAACCGATACAAACAAAATGGGTATCATTGGAAAGCTTATGAAAATACCTATCCAACAAGTGGTCACATGAACCGGTTACAAGAACCGGTTCCAGAGTAATGCAAGAAAATTGATATTTTTTACCAGTACTTTTTGAAAAACCCATAAAAACTCAAAAATGGACCCATTATAAGGTATTAAAATCTACATACCGTATTATAGCCAACAATATTGCCTTTCCAAAATGGTATCATACATGTTGATATCTTTTGTAATTCCGAAGATATTGGCTTTTAAAGTTGTTACTTATGAAAGTAGTATGAGTGAAGCCAAGTTTTATGTCGGGTTTAACGTTTTTGTTAATCTGTTTTGGTATAAAAAAATTGATTAAGAATAAAAGGTGTTTTAATTATAAAAGTTTAGAAAACTATGGATTGCGTAGCCGGTGTTGGACATACATCAGAGGAGAAAATCTCAAGCCCCGGCCGAAGGCCGGCTACCTACAAAGATTACAATGTTTAGAAAAATTAGCGATCGCGTAGCCGGTGTTGGACATACCCCAGAGGAGAAAATCTCAAGCCCCGGCCGAAGGCCGGCTACCTACGAAGATTACGATGTTTAGAAAAATTAGCGATCGCGTAGCCGGTGTTGGACATACCCCAGAGGAGAAAATCTCAAGCCCCGGCCGAAGGCCGGCTACCTACGAAGATTACGATGTTTAGAAAAACTAGCGATCGCGTAGCCGGTGTAGGACATACCCCAGAGGAGAAAATCTCAAGCCCCGGCCGAAGGCCGGCTACATACAAAGATTACGATGTTAAGAAAAACTAGCGATCGCGTAGCCGGTGTTGGACATACCCCAGAGAAGAAAATCTCAAACCCCGGCCGAAGGCCGGCTGTTTAAAAATGCTATAGAGGTTAGATACATTTGACTGGAGAAAAAATTGCAAATTAATGACTTCTATCACTAATATCTTCGGAACTACAAAAGATATCAACATGTATGATACCATTTTGGAAAGGCAATATTGTTGGCTATAATACGGTATGTAGATTTTAATACCTTATAATGGGTCCATTTTTGAGTTTTTATGGGTTTTTCAAAAAGTACTGGTAAAAAATATCAATTTTCTTGCATTACTCTGGAACCGGTTCTTGTAACCGGTTCATGTGACCACTTGTTGGATAGGTATTTTCATAAGCTTTCCAATGATACCCATTTTGTTTGTATCGGTTCAGTGGAACCGGATAAAAACCGAACATTGTATCTGAACTTTCGGGTCCAATAACCGGGTAACCGGTTATTTCCCCCACAAAAAATTTATATTGCCGTAATCAGTTTAAAAATACCTACCTGTGGTAAAAATTTCAAAATGATCAGAGCACAGCCCCTAAACTCAACTTGCTCCGGAAGATTTAAGGCATAAATTGAGTTTAGCTCCACCTGGCGGAAAATTCTGAATTTTTTTTTACCGAAGATAGGTCCTGTTATCCTAATCACAGCGATATTACTTTTTTGGGAATATTAATACTTTATTTTTTACTTTGCTAGTTCTTAACCAATAATCGGTTTTTATTCGTTCGTGAAGCCGGTGTTGGTCATACCTCAGAGGAAAAAATCTCTAGCCCCGGTCGAAGGACGGCTTCTTTAAAAACTTTTGGTTCGTGAAGCCGGAGTTGGACATACACCAGAGGAGAAAATGTCAAGCTCCGGCCGGAGGTCGTCTACTTTAAAAGGCTTTGGTTGGCGAAGCACGTGTTGGTCATACCACAGAGGAGAAAATATCAAGCCCTTTGCTTTGGAACTCTAGAACCGTATATTTCGGGACCCACCTCCTGAAAATGTTTTGTTGTTGTAATCAGGATACAAAAACCGATTATTGGTTTAGAACTAGCAAAGTAAAAAAGAAAGTATTAATATACCCTTTTGTAATCAAGGTATAAAAACCTACCTGTAGTGGCATTTTGAAGTTTTTATTTCGATTATTGGTTTTTGAAAAGGTTGGCTTGGCAAAGTAAAAAGAGGTATTTTTGGAACCCTATATCTTGAGAAATATTGATTTCTCACCCCCAGTCCCCCCAAATAAAATATATTTCAGAATTTCAGGTCTAGAGTATCAGAACGAATGTACGTTTCACAATAAACATAACGTTTTATGCGATACACTTATTAGAATATGAATATTCGTCCAATTACAACCATGGTACAATTGTCAATGTTGATATCATTCAAATTTGAAATTTCTTATTTAAATTTGGGGAACTTTCATATGAATACATGTGGTTAACTTGTATGGTGAAAAACCTCGAACGAATACGTCAAATATTAGATAAGGCTGTTAGGAAAGAAAATAGATCCGTCATGGTACAGACACAATTGTTTTCATGCAGTTATCATTTGAAATCTGGGTTTTACAATGTTTACACAATAGATAAAACAGAAAGTATTCACAATTTATCATTTGTACAGTATTTATTATAAAGATTTCGGCACAAAATATATTTCAATTGACTTGATTTACTTTTACTGTTATCAACAAAACTAATCAAACATTTTTTTACTGTCATTTATAGTGCTGATAACCTGGACAGCACAATGTTCCGCATGGGAGTTTTGGCCACTTTAAGATCCCGTGTTCTTGGTGGTGCTGTTATTGGAGTCATGATTACTGCTTCACATAATCCTGAGCCCGACAATGGTGTGAAACTTATTGATCCCAAAGGAGAAATGTTAGATCCAAGTTGGGAAGTTATTGCCACTGACTTAGCCAACGTGACTGACCAAGAACTTGAAGAACAGGTCGCCAAAATAATCAAGGAAAACAACATTGATGTCAGTTCATCTTCAAATGTCTATGTGGGCATGGATAATCGTTATCACAGTCCACGTCTACTAAAGGCAGTAGCCGATGGTGTTATTGCCTTAAAAGGCAACGTTAAAGAATTTGGAATTGTAACAACGCCAATGATGCACTACTATGTTGTGGCAGCCAATACAAAAGGAGCTTATGGACAGCCGACTGAGGAGGGGTATTATACCAAACTCATAACAGCATTTAATGCGCTAAGAGGCGACAAATTGGAAAACGGCAATTATAGGAACTTGCTATTGTTTGATGGTGCAAATGGTGTTGGAGCTCGAAAAATGTTGCAGTTCATTAAGAGGATGAACAACACACTGAATGTAGAAGTATTTAACAAAGGCGATGGAAAAATCAATCATGAATGTGGTGCTGACCATGTGAAGGTTCAACAAAAAGTGCCTATATGTATGCCAAAAGCGGATCCAAACACAAGATGTGTAAGTGTAGATGGTGATGCAGATCGGGTAGTTTATTTCTTCACCGATGAAAATGGCACCTTCCATCTACTTGATGGTGATCGTATTGCCACTTTATTCGCCGACTATTTGATGGATATGGTTAAAAAATGTGGCCTCGAATTAAATTTGGGCTTGGTACAAACAGCTTATGCAAATGGCGCTTCCACTGACTATATTGTCAATAAACTAAAAGTTCCAGTTGCATGTGTTCCCACTGGTGTAAAGCATTTGCATCATAAAGCTTTAGAATTCGATATTGGCGTTTATTTTGAAGCCAATGGCCATGGTACTGTCATATTCAGCGACAATGCCAAAAACTTAATAAAGAAAGCCGCTGGAGAGGGAAACATTAATGCCAAACAATTCCTATTGATTATCGATGTCATTAATGAGACTGTTGGGGATGCTATATCAGACATGTTGCTTGTGGAAACTATTCTAAATCATAAAGGCTGGGATGTAAAAGACTGGCTGGGCTGTTATGAAGATTTGCCCAATTTGCAATTAAAAGTTAAAGTGCAAGATCGTAACGTCATTACAACAACTGATGCGGAGAGAATTTGTGTAACACCTGTGGGATTGCAAGAAGCAATTAATGGCGCAGTAGCCAACTATAAGCGTGGCCGTTCATTTGTACGCCCATCAGGAACGGAAGACGTTGTTCGTGTCTATGCCGAAGCAGCAACTAAAGAGGTAAATTGGACAAGTAATATATGGTTCTCTCATACCAATACTTATTTCGTTTTCTTTATTAGGATTGTGAAAGCTTAGCCTATGACGTCGGAATTTTGGTGCATAAAATGGCTGGTGGTGTTGGTCCAGATTTGGTGCATCCCAATAGTTGTGTAAAAGCTCACTTCTAAAAGCTCATAGATTTTGATATGTCTCATAATATATTTGCTGCCTGCCTTGAAAAGGATATTTTGTTAAACATAATTTTTTCAACTGACCGATAATGTTAATCTCAATATATATTAGAGACGTGATTTTTATATGTACGTTAGCTGTTTTTTGTAAATTGCCGATTGTGGTATTTTATTATTGTATTTTAGGAGAACACTTTTTATTCAAATGGTTAACATAATATCAAATGTTAGATTTATAATTAGTTTAATGCTGTTCACAATATGCTGAATTTAAATGTATGTATGTATTTCTGTCAAAACGTATCTTAAAAAAATATTTATATCATGCATTTATATACCACAATAATGAGATTATTTGAACTTGAAAGAAAAACTTAAATTTTGTTCCATGATATTACTAGAGAAAATATTCACCGAGTACAGTATCGAGAAGCCAGCGAGCTGCGCGGGCATTTCCAAAGATTGAGTGTTTAAACATTTTTCTTGGAAAATTCTATTTTATTTGTTTGTTGCGAAAGGTATTTCTGGGTACATACATGAGAAGAAGAAGCAAAAAACAACATCATATATACGTTTATAATTAAGAGTTGACGAGATACTACATGGTGGCGATTTATGCACACATATTTCTAACGGATTTGTTTAAAATTCGTTGTTTGTAGTTCGTAATTGGTTTTAGCTCTGGTGGCAGAACATTGTCTATATAGGTCCACGTTTACCTATAGTCTTCTTTTTACGGTAACTCCCGATATTCGGCAGTTCCATGATTTAAGTTTCATTTTTTTATTTAACAGCCAGTGTAGCAGAAAATTCCCTATGTTGGTCTAGGATTTAGTATAGCAACTATATAACGCTACCGCTAACTTTCTGTGATTTTGCGGACTTTTTACTATATGGTAGAGGCGATTGGATCTGCGGACCCGCCTATGGTAGAAGAAAACGGTAGATGCATCAACGCTTAGGAACATTGATATGTCAAAAGAATTCAAATTTCTTTTCAAATATAAGTAGATTTTTATGTGTTTTCTTATACGACGTCATTCAGAGGATATTATAATACAAGTTTTTCAACAATTTTTACAAATACAAATAATTTTTCATTCAACATTTTCAATTCCAAATTTGATTTGACAGTTCATTGTCCCAGCAGCTGTGTCAATGCCAGCCGTGTCCGTAAGGACAAAGCAGAGCAGGCGCACTGTTTCATATCACCCGTTATCGGTAAAAAAAAACACAAAAAACAATCGCAAAGAGATGTTCAATGTCGGTAAGGCCGTATCGCAGTGGTTGCATCATAAACTAATGAATAGTAACGGAAAGTTAGTTTTGTCTTTTTATCCAGGTGGCTCTCAGCACATGAACAACATGCTGAATAACGCAGTCGACCCACTCGACTTCAAAACCCCATTTTATCGTTTTTCAAGAATTCCACTGAATTAATTAATCGATGACATCATGTAAAATACACCGATCCATAGGCAAATGAAGATATAGACAACGAAAAGTTAGTTTTGTCTTTTTATCCAGGTGGCTCTCTTCATGTTTTGCATAGTCAACATGCTGATTTACGCGTTCAACCCACTCGACTTCGAAAAACATTTTATCGTTTTTCAAGAATTTCACTTGATTATTCCGGAATTTTTTGATGTCATCACGTAATTTTCACATTTCTTTTATTATGGAACAATTTCCAACTGACAAACATCCTACAGGTTTTGTTATTTTTAACGTTTTAGAATTGAGTGACTTCAATATTCCCACTCAAACCCCTGAAACGATATAGACGACATCTGCTGATTCGATTTTTTTCGAAGATAAGCGGTGAGAGCATTTCGTTTTCTATATTTTCATTTGTCTATAACCGATATCTTATTATAGAATAGTTTTAAACTGTCGAATATCCTACAGTTGTTGTTAACTTTAACATTTTAGAATTGAGTGACTGCAACATTGTCACTCATACCCCTGAAACGACATATTTATAAGTTTTATTTATACCAGTAAAGAGATGTCAAAAGGGCGGGCCGACATGGAAAAAAGAAAAAAGCAGCATTCCCTTGTCTATATATTCATTGGTCTATGGCATAGACAAACGACTTCGAAAAAACATTTCATCGTTTTTCAACAATTGCACTTGATTATTCTGGAATTCTTCGATGTCATGACGTACTTTTCACATTTCTCTTTGATATCGCCCATTTTTAACTTGGGCATTTTTTGGGGCATTTAAGTTTTTTCTTTTTCATTTAAAGTAAATAGTTACTAACTGCTAGGAGCATATCGGATTTTTAGATAGTTGTAGATAGCGAATAGCTATATATAGTCAAGGTTTTAGCACAGTAAGCCATTCCTGTTAGTTTGTAAGATTATTAACCAAATTAATAAATAGGCAAAATTGAAATTGAAACTTTTCACATTTCTTTTATTGTGGAACAATTTTATTTTTAACATTTTGGGATTGAGTGACTTCAATATTTTCACACATACTCCTGAAACGATATAGACGACATCTGGTGATTCGATTTTTTTCGAAGTTAAACGGTGAAAGCATTTCTTCCTCTATATTTTCATTTGTCTATGGTAAAAACAACGATAATTTCATCATCCTCCTCAGTTTATTCTACGATTGTTACCGTTTTTAAAATCGATTAATAGCCAAATCGAAAGTAGAAATATCGATTACACAGCTGATTTTATTTAATTCGCCGCAGACGTGGTATTTTACGTGGTGCCCGAGCCGGTGAATAACCAAAACAAATTCTTCAAGGTTTCAAGTAAAACTGGAAATAGTTTCAAAAATATGACAACTTTAAAACGGGAGGAGATACTGTTGCTGTTTGATGTCGACGGAACATTGACTGTTCCTCGATCAACAGTAACTCCAGATTTCGAAGAGTTTATGTACAAAGAAGTCAAACCACGAGCTACAATTGGTATTGTGGGCGGTTCAGATCTGGAAAAAATGTTCGAGCAATTGAACGGACATAAAATCCTCGAAAATTTCGATTTCGTGTTCCCCGAAAACGGTCTGGTGCAAATCGACAAAGGTCAAGAGGTTGGCAAACAGAATATTATCAAACATTTAGGCGAAGAAACAATTCAGCGTTTTATAAATTTTGTATTGCGTTATTTATCGGAGCTAATATTGCCATTCAAAAGAGGCACATTTTTGGAATTTCGCAATGGCATGATGAACATTTGTCCAATTGGAAGACAGTGCTCTAGAGAAGAACGAAATATATTTGCCGAATACGATAAGGAGCACCAAGTACGCAGCAAGATGATTGAGGTGCTGAAAAAAGAGTTTGGCGATGTGGATTTAACATACAGCATCGGGGGACAGATTAGCTTTGATGTTTTTCCTAAGGGCTGGGATAAAACATATTCCTTGCGCTACATTGAGGCTAACTACAAATTTAAGGAAATTCACTTTTTTGGTGATAAAACTGAGCCTGGTGGCAATGATTATGAGATTTTCATTGACCCTCGTACAATTTCCCATAAAGTGGCGAGTCCCAACGATACGAAACGTATATTAAAGGAAATATTGGGACTAAATTAATATTACCAAACATTCCAAATGGAACGAAGTGCATTTATCGTGTTTTATGATGTTTATTGTTAAGAAGTGATACCATATGCTTTCCTTTGAATAAAGTTTGCTGTATAAAAGAATAAAATATATAATTAAGAATAAGCTGTACATCTAGTCGGTATCCATTTCAGAATCATCATCTTCATCATCATCATCTTCGTCATCATCATCAGTTTCATCAGAATCACTACTATCGCTATCTATCCAGTCATGAGCATTCATATTGTTTGGAATAATAGCTTTCCATTCATCCAATTTATGCAAATCCAAAGCATAGAAATCGTTAAACGTATACTGTTTGCTATCCTCCTCATAAATGCCACCGTAAATATACAATACACCTTTGCAGACACATAGACCAGGATTCATTCTAGGCGAAGGAACATTTTTGGGTCTACGATTAGGGAATAGACTAGGCACTTTTGGAAGAGCAGGAGTGGAATTCGATGTTGTGGGACCTGCCACGGTTATTGTAAAAATTCCATCAGACGTCACAGTTGTTTGAGGTTTGGTTTTCTCTTCTTCATCCATTTCAATGTCAGTTGGGCTAGTTTTTTCTTTCTTTTCGGGTTTAATTTTTTTTATAATTTCAATTAGACGCCATGACATTGCCGTCAAATCTAACGACAGCAGCTCATCACCAAATTGTCCTTTAACATCTTCTTCGTCCTCATCTATGTCCATTACGCCTCCAAAACAGTAGGCTTTGCCATTTGGGGCTGTACAACACCCTACACTGCTACGGGGTAGAGGTTTGTATCCACCACATTTATTACTAACCCATTTAAATTTGTTTGAGTCGGGTGCATTCTCTGTTGGAAAAAGTTCATATTCAATGCAGTTTTTTTTTTATAAAAACAGAATAACTTACTATCTGGAGTTAATATGTACATATCTGTATGTGTTATACCCCGGTCGACGTCTTTCTTCATTTGTGACTTGGAGTATCCTCCCCAAATTACAATTTTTCCTTCAGGCGTTGCAGTCATACAGCACGCCGATCGGGGTGGGGGAATCACGGCCCCTCCAATTTCTACTTGTAGCCAGGTGTATGATTCTAATGAGAAAATATGCACATCATTGAAATAACGATATGATTGGTTGTTGTCATGGAAGCCGCCAAATACAAAAAGTTTCTTTTTTGCAACAGTCATACGATGGCCACTACGAGCACTAGGTCCATTAGGTGCATTAATCTTTTCCCATTTTCGCGTCTTAAGACTCATCATCCATAAATCTTTGTAATGATAAAACTGCATTTGTGAAGGACTTGCATGCTCACCTCCGAAAACCTAAAGTCACAAGAGGTCCTGGTTTATTAAATATGTTTTGGTATTCTCGAAAATGCTTACCCATAATTGCCCTCCATCCGTGGCAACCGTGACCATTTGGTGACCACTTCTAGGAGCTGGGCCACCAGGAGATTTTACTAGCTTCCATTCGTTCTTACTAATGTTATAGAAGAACAGATCATTATAAACGCATACTCTTTGACCGTTAAAAAATTCGCCGCCAAACAGTATAATTTCTTCTTTTTCCGGATGTGCTACCAGGGAAAAACTTGATCTGGGAGTGGGTGGGGTGGCACAAACTTCTTCTGTTACCGTTTTTATTCTAGCCTCTTCGGCTTCCAATTTGGCAACCAAATCGGCAATGTCTGCCTAATAAAGAAATCTTTCAATAAGTTTTGAAAACAAAGCAATTGCTGTCAATTACCTCGCCCAACTTTTCTAGCATTTTCTTTTGTTTAGCTGCCAATTTTTTATCTGTCTTCATGGCGGTTTTTTCAGCGCCTTTTCCTTTTTTCTTGTTTTTATCCTTTTTACCCATTTTTTTTTGATATTTAAATAAAAAGTTTGCTGTTTCTTTGTTTAACCGGTGGACTTCCTTTCCACTCAACGCAGATATGCACGTGTATGATATGTTTTGACATAAACATACACACAGCCCCTGAGACAGTTGTCAAATTGTTGTTTACGAATGGAGCGAGAAAAAGGCAGCAAGAGTTTATACACACGTTTACATTATGCCTCTACATCATATTTAAGAAAATCGGATAAATTTAGATTTATGTTTAAATGCTACAAAATAGATATGATTGCATGGTACAAGCATGGTAGAAGAATAGATGGTAGATGCATCAACGCTTAAGAACATTGACATGTCAGAATTTTTTCAATGTATTTTCAAAAATAAGTAGATTTTTAAATGTTTTTTTTATACGTCGCCAATAGGAGGTAGTTATATTCATGGTACAATAAAAAGGTAAGGTGAAGCAAACAACTGATTACAATTTTTTTTGTATGTATTTATTGTTTTGAAAAATAAAACAGAATATTTTCAAAATCAATGATTGGAAGACGCGAACATTACGGGACGCGCATTGAAGCTATTCGCCAGTTTTACCATGTAATTCAAAGATCCAACTATTAACATCATATTCTTAAAAGAAAATCCAGGCATTTCATTCATTTTTCGCGCTGTTTCACTGATTTTAAAAATGAAAAATATTGAATAAATGAAAACAACTTGTTCGTATGCAAATTTGACAGAAAGCGGGCATAGCCTCAGGGCTGTATGTCTGTAGTTTTACGAAGCTGTTCTACCTCCTTATTTCTCTCAAAAATATGAGCCAAACTGTTCAATCTTGCAACTTCATAGCTAAACTGGTTTATAGCTTTGATGCGTGAGCCGCGGTGTACATGTCTTCCAATCATTGGTTTTGAAAATATTTTTTTTTCATTTTTCAAAATAATACACAAAATTGGCAGAAGTCGGACACACTTAGAAAAAAAATGTAATTAGCTGCTAGCTCTACCTTACCTTTTTATTGTACAATGGATTCATCGACGCTTGGGAACATTTATATGTCAAAATATTTAAAATGTTTTGTCAAGAATGAGTAGATTTTTATAGTTTTTCTTATACGAAGGAAATCGGAGCTTGTTATAAAATGCATTTTTCAATAATTTTTACGAATTTCAATAATTTTTCATTCAAAAATTTCAATTCCAAAATGGCTTGACAGTTCATTGTCTGGATCAGCGTAAAATTCTAAGACAATTTAACAATCTCCGACTGCCTGTTTGTCTGTTGTAATCACGTTATCTTTCGAACGAATTGAGATAGAAAGTTAAAATTTTGACATATTTGTATTTTCCAAGAAGGCAGGTTAAGTTCGTAAATGGGCCATGTCGGCTCATCTTTTCGTATAGCCCCCATGTAATGGTACCTCCCAATATTCGGTATTTTCATGACTTTAGGGACATTATTCAACGGAATCGTTTTAAATTTCGTATTTAAAGTTATAAAGGGTAATACAGCCTATGACAAAAAATTTCGTATGCTGTTCCACGTGTTAATATAGTCCCCACATAACGGTTTTCATTTGAGTGGTAGTTTTCAATTTTTTTGGAAATATTCCAACTTCCGTTTAAATTGTGGATGCTATTAAAAGTTCGGCTCGGTTGAACTTAGCTTCTTTTTAATTGTTTAATTTATCGCGAGTGATACAGTTGCAATGAGCGTGTAAGCATTTTCAATCTCTCACGAACATAAGCATTGAACGGATAACTTCGCTACAAGCGTCGTCTATTTGAAAACACAAAATGAGCTCATGCGAGAAGACCGTATTTTTAACCTTTCGCGAGAGAATTTTTGCGCACCCTGTTTTCTTCCTCTTTTGTTACGTATATATATATCTGTGAATGAAAATGAAACAAGGTAGAAGAATACGGTTAGATGCACCAACACTTTAGAACATTGATATGTCAAAACATTTTTAGTTTTTTTTTTAATATGTATGTATGTTTTCCTCTTCGGCGCCATTCGAAGGTTGTTATGATATGATTTTTTTTTAACAATTTTTACAAATTTGAAAAATTTTTCATTCTCATAATTTTTCATTCTTCAGACTGCAGTCATTTCTAAGCCACTCGTCCGACAGCTGTTAAGATTATTCCAGTGACTGCTCATTATATTGTTTACAAGCATACAAAAGCATTTTGGTGAGAACTTTCCAGAAAAAAGGTTGTTCGTGATGGAATTCAAGCGTGATAGTGTGATTTCTTTATATTTGGCTATAAAATCACAAGTGGCTATCGTTAAAGCACTCGAGCATTTAAATGTGAATAAATCTTTTGTGTCTCGTACCGTACTGTGATACTGGGAGCGTAGCCCGTCAAGGAAGTGGACAGAAGAAAACAGCAACATCAGCAGAAATGGTTCGAAAAGTAAAGAAACGACTTGATCAAAACTCGCGGCGCAGTGGCCGAAAAAATTCGGAAAAAATTGAAAAATGTGCTAGGGGTAAAGCTACTGAAATTCCAAAAAGTGCAAGAACTTACACCGAAACAGAAATAAAATTGACTCAAAAGAGCTAAAGAGTTGCTTCGCTTGGCCGAAAGTGGTGAACTGACGAATTTGGTTTTCTCCGATGAGAAAACATTCGTTGTCCAGCAGTTTTAAAACAAACAAAATGATCGTGTTTACTTGCCAAAGAGGCCAGCTGAAAATGTGCACCTTCGGTTGGCTACCAGAACTCAAGCGACGGCTATGGTGATGGCGTGGGCCGCCATAACAGCCGATCGTCACTCTCCGCTCGTATTAATTAACCGTGGCATCAGAATAAATTTCTAATCGCGAAAATATTCTGTAGGGTGCATTAAAGCCTAGGGCAAGCGAACATTTTGGCCGCAGACCATGATACTCTAACAGGACTCAGCACCATCGCACTCAGCACGTGCCACTCAAGAACGGTTACAAAATGAGGTTCCTCGCTTCATTTCCAGCGCACAATGGCCACTAAAATCTCCGGATACCAATCCGTTAGACTATTGTGTCTGGTGTATTTTGGAAAGCAATGTTGGCACAAAAAAATATCATAGAGTCTCCCACTTCAAGCAAGCGCTTCGCCGGAAATGGGCTTAAATACCGCAGAGCAACATTCGGGCAGCGTGTGACGGTTTCATTGGCCGTTTGAAGGCCATAATTCGTGCCAAATGTGACAAATTCGAACAAATCTAAACTTTTCTAAAATTTGATGCTATTTCCGACATTTTTTTGCTTTCATTCAATAAAATTAAAAAAATGTAAAAATTATACGTTTGAATTTGTTGCAGTTTTCTGATCTCACCATGTACACATAACCGAAGATGAATTCAAAAAACAAGTCGGTAAGTTTACATGTTATATTTATTGAGATTGATGCAATTGTTAGTAAATATACATTTAGGATGCTCCAATTAGAAAATATATTTTTAAAATTAAATTTATTTATTTTTTATTTATAACTACTAGTTGTTCGTTTAATAATTTGTTAGTCATGGCTTAATAACTAATGTATCAAAAACATGTTTATTGTTCATGTTAAATAATGTTCGAGCTAGAATGGGGTCTTCGGGACCGTTAATATTTCGTTGATTTGAGATTGCTGCTGCTTAGGGAACTACGACCGTTTATCGACCAATTAGAATCAAAACCACATGCCGAATCCGAGTCCGAATCAACAGTCAGGCTGTGGGCCACAGCACCTAAGCCCAAGGGTGAACGTAATTGATTGGGTGTCGTTGGCATACTACTGTAGCCAGTATTGAAATTAGAACTTGATGTCGAAGATATGGAATCTCTGGGTGAATCTGTTGTATTGGATGTCAAAGAAGAACGTTTTGCGTTCTTTTGGCGTTTCTTAACACTATCTAGAACTTTTGGTGGTGGCATTAGGGATTCATCATCGTCGTCGTCATCATCATGTGTCACATTGTTAATATTAGACGACGTACCATTTATGTTGTCGGCAGAACCCCATGATTTATGCAGCAAGTCGAATTGTTTACTATTAATGGGTGCACTCGCTCTCGAGCCCGGTGCTAGGTGGTGCATTGACGATGGTGTGTTCTTTTTTGCCATCATTGTTGAGGATTTTTTCATCATCATCGGATGCAGATGATGCTGATTCCGCATCGTACCAGCGTGATGAAGATGATGTGGATAGTGATGGTGACGATGGGGCCGCTGGTGAGGGAGACTTGCTGTTGAGGCTGCGTGTGGATGGTGATGATGCGGCTGTGCCGGCATTGAGCTCCCATTGCCATTGCCCACACCCAAGAAGTTGCTGAACGCTTCGGTCGTTTTCTTCACTCGGACATTCAAAGAGCCAATCCGTAGGAATCCCGAATCTTTTTCGGCTGAAAGAGGATAGAGAACATTATTTATTTTGAATATTGAAGAATGCATGATTATTATACGAAAGAGTTGTTATGTTTCCCAAAACAGTGACGAATTTTATAGTTTGGAACTCCTCGGATACGAAATCCTCGGAATTTTTATTAAATATTGTAAATTTGTTATTCTTGTAATCGGAGGTTCAATTCTCGTTTAATGAAAATGTGAAATAAAAACTTTACAAAAGTCCGAATTTGTATTAGGCAAGTTTACTTGTGGCAAGTCTCTTTTTGTAGGAGAGGTAAGGGGAAAGGAAGTGGCAAAAAATTGTTCGTACTGCCAATTTTCTGCCAATTCCTTGTGTTTTATTTTTATACAAAAATATAAAAAACAATGACAGTAAAAGTAATAATGAAAAACGAAATTGCTGAAATGAAATTGCCAAGTATAAATGCAAGAGGCAAGTTCAAAGGAGAACGATAAAAATTGTAGCAAGAAAACTCGCCCTGGCTAAATCGGCACGAAGGACATAAATTAAAAAATAAATATTTTATAAAGGAAAATGTTTTTATTTTATATTTTCAAAAATCCAGTCTCAGAGCTGCACACTAAAATTATTTTCTTCAATTTTCTCCCCAATTAATTGCTAAGTATATAATAGGCCTGTCTGGTTACTTTTTTGTTTGGATAAATGGTCGACCAACTTCTTTCTGAGATAAAAATGTCGTTTTATTTTCCTTTGAAAACTTACAAAACATGAATTGAAGAAGGAAACATGAAATAGGAGGGCAATTCTTCAGTTTCAGAACTGCATTAAAATATAGAAAAAAATAACAAAACAAGTCAAATAGTGTCAGTCGGTTTTGCCGACGGATGTATACCCCAGCATTGAGTTATGATTATTCTAACTATTGAACCATTATGTGGGAGGTTCCGAAGTAGTTGGCCAATTCGTATCTGACCTAAGTTTGATATAAATATTACAACACGCCGTATTTGGACTATATCGTCTACTTCGTATACTTTATATGAGATATGTGCAATTTTTTGGAAATCGTTCCACTTCAGCTTATACAGATAAAAGTATAGGTAGGTGCAAATTTAAGGAAATCGAACATTTATATCCAATTTTATACGAAATCAAAATTCCGATTAATTACATATTCATATCCGATTTCTGGCTAAGGGAAATATTTGAATGTATGTATCAAGTTGTATAGAATTGCCCACTTGTTTCGCAATTTTGAGAGATATAAGTATTGAAAAATGTGACACTTTATGGTTGAGGTACCACCAGAACGGGTTGGCAGATATCTTTCATCTTCATAACAGATTTTGCGTAACCAAAAATGTTTGGATGTGTTAAATTTGGATGCTTATTTCACGTTTTATGATCGTTTTGTTTATCAAAATGTTGTACCCATTGTAGGGGAAGTACCAGAAGGAGTGCGCCAATATATCGACATTACACAGCAGATCTGTGTTAGTAAATACTAAAGGTACCAGAAAAAAGGGTCCGATCTCTACCATTTTTATAACAGATCTTGTTTTGATAAAAATATGGAGAAATATGGAATGGAATCGGATGTTGATTTTGTGTTTAGGAGCTTAATTGATATTCAAAATACCGATGTATCCCATCTTCACAGCAGATCTTGTGTAAGTAGAAATAATGAGATGTGTGAAATGCGAAGAGAACCGGATGCTTATTTCGGAACTAATAATCGTTTTTCTTATTCGAAATTTTGACCCTGTGTGGGGGAGGTACCAGAAGAAGGGAACCGATATATTCCACCTTCACGCCAGACCTTGGGTAAATAAAAATATTGTGATGTGTGTAACTTGAAGACAATCGGACCCATACATCACATTTTATAAGAGTTATAATTATTCAAAATTTTGACCCTTTGTGGGGGAGGTCCTTGATGGAGTGTGCCGATATTGTTCAATTTCGCACCTGATCTAGAACTGATACCAAAAAATATTGTGATGTGTGTATCTCCGATCTAAGTTTGATAATAATATTATGAAGTACCAAGTTTGATATTACGATATTACGATGTACCAAAATCGGATACTCCATTGGAGAGTTATCGTGCCAGCCAGCCTGACAGACAGGCTGACGGCCGGACATCGCTAGATCGACTCCAAATGTCCTGAAACGGATTTGGTCCAAAGAGACCTAGGGTCTAAAACCGTTATTTCGATGAGGCACGTTTTAGCCATATCAAATGATATATACCCCCTCCAGCCATATGGCTGAGGGCATAACCATGGTACAATAAAGAGGTAGAACAGCTTCGTAAAACTATACAAATACAGCCCTGAGGATATGCCCGCTTCCTGTTCAATTTGCATGAAATACGTTGTTTTCATTTATTCAATACTTTCTCTCATTTTTAAAATCGGTTAAACAACGGGAAAATTAATGAAATGCTTGGATTTTCTTTCAAAAATATGATCTAAACAGTTTTATCTTTTAATTCCATGGCTTTAATGCGCGTCTCGCAATTTACGTGACTTCCAATAATTGACTTTGATTATGTTCTGTTTTTATTTTTCAAAACAATTAATACATACACAAAATTGGCAGAAGTCGGGCACACTTAATAAAAAATTTTAATCAGCTGGTAGCTCTACCTTACCTTTTTATTGTACCATGGGTATAACTAGTTGATCTTTGCAGGTTTGTTGCAGTACTGCAACACGGCAATTGCTTTAGCGAAAAATCGTAACATTTTTCAACCATAATCGCCGAAAACATAATTTTGTTTATTTTCTATTTTATTCAAAACAATACATATTCTTTGTTTATGTCTTTTTTTTGACAGAATGGGGCAAACACAAGAAAAAATTGTATTTAGGAGGTAACTTTAATTCACTCCTGTCATTATGCAATGGGAATAACCAGACAAACCTAATATCTGTTAAAGGCTACATTACACACGATGTTAGAGTCATATGTAAAATTACTTTTATACCATAGCATACATTAATTTAAATATACTAAAAGTATGGAAAATTAATAAACTACAAGTTTATTTATAGTTAAGTATATTAAGTAGATTATGACTCGTTTTTATATATTTTCTTTATAGTCCGGAAAAAGTAAAGCTTAATCAGGTTTTCATTGTTACATCTTTCCTTTAAAATAAATTCATTTTTCAGAGATATGGCAAGCTTTTTGTAAAAGTAACTGATAGTCACTGTATTTTTGTACAGTGGCATCTTCATTTTAGTTTAAACACAATACATTTTGCTGTTATTGCCATGTTATCAATATAAAATAACATGAATTCAGTAAACTTTACGTCAAAGGATAAAGGGAAGATGATCTGATCATTTGCTTATCGGACAGTTCATATCATGATAGAAGAATATAGATAGATGCATCAACACTTGGGAACATTGATATGTCAAAATTTTTAAAGTGTTTTGTCAAAAATAAGTAAATTTTTATATGTTTTCTTATACGACGCAAATCGGAGGTGGTAATGATATGTACTTTTCAACAATTTTCACAAATTTCAATAATTTTTCATTCACGATTTCAAATTGGGTTTGACAGTTCATTGTCCCAGCAGCTGTGTCGATGCGACTACCTGTATTCTTCTACCATGGTTCATGTTTAAATTAAGCTTGTAATGATGAAAAATGATTTATTTGTCCGACAACATCATTTTGTTATTTATATAATGTTAATATAACAACAATAGCATTATTCTTCTTTTCTTTATAACTCACCTGATGGTTTTCTCTTTGCCTTGATTTCTGTAAAATATTGAAAAATCGGAATTAACGTTTACATATATTTAAATTGTAAAATAAAACATACAAAAATGTTAGAAGCATTGGCTGTAAAAATGAATAAATATGTAAAAAACGGGTACATGCGGTGCAGAAAATTTATGAAAAACAAATTTAAAAGCCAACAATAACTTACCATGTGATGATAACATATTTTTATTGCAAAACCAACAATAATACACATATATAACTGTGCAAATATAAGACCAAAATTTAAAGCATTCACAACACGGGTTGGTTGTTGAAACAAAGCCAAATAATGATATTTTTAATATTGTTTAATTAATTATGATGATAGCTAAATTAATTATAGTAAAATTAAATATTATGAGTATTTCCAGATATCTAAAAAATCCTTTGCAATATAACGACTTGCTAAAAAAATCCAGTCAAGTTGAATTTTTTGTCCGCTACTATGGTTGACAGTGTGATATAATAACACAGGTAGCCTCATCTAAGAATACAACCCATTGTATTTAAATGTTGCCAAAGGTAAGTTAGTAAATTTTTTTTCATCAAAGACATACTGCAAATCTAGTCCAAGTAAAGATTCCTTTCGCTAAAGTCAAAAACGTGATATAATTACACAAGGTAATCTCATTTGAGAATTCGCTAAAACAGATTTATAAATTTGAATGCTATTAAAGGTAAGCTTGTGAGATGATTGTCATCATATGTTTGAATGTGGTCACTTTGAATTATTTTCCCACGGTTGAAAGTTTATTGCATGGGATAATAATACCAGTACTTGGTAATGAGAAAAAAGCTCTTTGGCTTTATTTTTTTTAGAAATAACCCATGTTTTTCCAACCTAACGGTATTCTGCATTAGTTTGTTCCAATTACATTTTAGTGGCTTATTCGTCTTATGTGGCTGGGCTAAGTTCAAAAACAAAACGAATTACTTTGACCTGAAAGAACGAACAACCTGGTAAAAATATAAAACTAGGTGGCAACCTTGCAAAATCAACATATAAGACAATCTAATTGGAAATATTGGAAATTCGTTTTCGTATACGAAAACATTGCAAAAATTGCAGCCAAATTTAATTTTAACAAGTTAAATAGTATAGTATAGGATGTATTCTAACCGTTGACCTTTTATGGGGGAGGTCCGAAGCAGTAGGCCAATATTGTCCAATTCGATTAATTGCATATTCATATCAGCTTTCTGGCTAAGGGAAATATTTAGACATATCAATTTGTAAAGAACCACATGTTATGACTGATATAAGTATTGGAGATTGTGACCCTTCGTTTTTGAGGTGCCAGAACGGGTAGACAAATATCTATAATTCTCATAACAGATTTTGCGTAAGCAAAAATGTTCGGGTGTGTGAAATTTGATTTTTTTAAAAATTTTGAACCCTTTGTGTGGGAAGTTCCAGAAGGAGTGCGCCGATATATGCCATTTTTACAGCAGATCTTGTGTAAGTAGAAATAATGGGATGTGTGAAATATAAAGAGGTTTTATTTAATTTGGATTTAATAATCGTTTTGATTATTCGAAACTTTAACCTTTTGCCACAAGAAGAAGTGGCCCGATCTCTACCATCTTTTTAACAGATCTTGTGTTGATAAAAGTATTGAGATTTGCCAAGTCTGAATAGAATCGGATTTTAATTTTGCGTTTTAGCAGCTTCATGGATATTCAAAATTTTGAACCCTTTGTTGGGGGAGTTCCAGAAGGAGTGCGCTGATATATCCCATTTTCATTGCAGATCTACTGTTAGTAAAAATAATGTGATTTGTGAAATATGAAGAGAACGGGACGTTTATTTCGGATTTAATAATCGTTTTGATTATTCGAAACCATCCATACCCGACATCCATCCATCTTCATACCAGACATTGAGTTAATTAAAATATTGAGATCTGTGAAATTAAATCAAAATGTTGACCCTTTGTGGGGGCGGTACTTGAGGGGGTGCACCGATATTATCCATTTTCGCACCTGACCTAGAACTGATGCACATATTAGGAGTTGCAAAGTTGGAGCAAAATCGGATTATCCTTTCTCACTCTGTGTAGTAAAATATTTTCTTTTAAAATGTTGTCCTTTTGTGGGGGAGATACCAGAAGGAGTTCGCCAATGTTGTTCATCTCCGAACACGATCTAAGTTTAATAATAATATTACGATGTACTAGGTTTGGACCAAATCGGATACTCCCTTCGAGAGTTATCGTGCGCACCAGCCAGCCAGCACGGAAGGATATCGCTAGATCGACTCCAGTGTCCTGAAACGGATTTGGTCCAAAGAGACCTAGGGTCTAAAACCGATATTTCGATGAGGCACGTTTTGACCGAATCAAATGATATATACCGTCTCTTGCCATATTGTTGAGGGTATGAAAAATTGGCAGATTTTCTGCTACTACAATTTACTTGGACAATTTGTATCTAATGAACATTTAGCTGCAGTTGTACAATGTTTTCGGGAGCGATTTTCAAATAAAATATTGCAAAATGCTGAAAGTAGTAGATTCTTGTGTATAAGAAGGTAAAGTTATTTAAAATAAGCATAACCAACTCTGCATTTTCTGCAATTTACCTTGTCAAATTTTACCGCATAGAAAACTAGTCCCCATATCTGATTTGTGTAAGTACAATGGATCTATAAATATATATTTTGGCAATGAGATGTTGTCAAATGAATAATTTAAAAAAAAATGTAAACATATGATTGCATCACGTAACCTTCATATTTTATCATATATGATCCCTGAATGTTGAAGAACAATCAAATCGATTTGACTAATGTAAGTCTTTTAAACCTTATTAGATTATTGCAAAATGGAAATACCCCAACAAATTATTTTCAACAAAGGTTAGCAAAAATAAACAATAATTGTCATATTAAAAAAAGCATAATGCATTCGACTTGTTGTACAACAAATCGCAAATAACAAAAATCTGAAAGTTTAAAATGAAAGGTGACATTAAATATGCGCAAAAAAGAATTAATTGTAATTATTAATCAACTGAAATCGCTTGAGTCGGCAAACTGTCAATGGAATTGCGCGCGCCATGATTATGATTATCCACTTGCCTCCAGGTGCCGTATCCACTGTTGATCAATTGTTGGCGCATTGCTTGGATCTCTGAGCGAGTACAAATCGGAGTGCAATCAATGCATTTATTTGTCCATCAAAATTGGCAAGTTCAATTTGGTGCATTCGTTGGCAGATAGAAGATTTCACGATGCCGATGAAGGTTTCGGGGAAGAAGAGAGTGCATTGAAAATAAAATTTTTTTTTGTTTTGTAAAATTTGCAGGAATAGAATAAAAATATAAGATTTGACAGGTACTGGCATTAATATTTTTTAGTCACTTTGATTGTGTTGGTTGGTGTCATGGTACAATAAAAAACATGTTTGTAGAGCTTCCAGTTGATTACAATTCTGGTCTGAGTATGCCCGTCTTCTGCCACTTCTGTATTTCTTGTTTTGAAAAATGTTACAGTCATATGTAAAGTGACTATTTCAAGAATTATTTGCAGCATTTTTATGGCCTACCTTGAGGCGCTCCCAAAAAAGATTTTTATCTAAAACACTTTACAGTATAAGTTAATATTGTCATACTTTAGGTTTACAATATATAAAATAGAATATGAAGGGTAAGAAAAAAAAACTGAAACAAAGTCAAACACCATAATTTTGACATTTTTTTTTTAAATTTTATTGAATGAAAGCAAAAACTTGATATGCGAATAATATGAGCTTAAAACTTGAGGATTTGTATTCTATGAAAATATGAAATGAAAAATATTTCCTTGTTGAAAAATGCTTATTATAATAAGCTTTGATTCGCGTCGTACAAGAAAACATACAGGGTGAGATAAAAACTGCAACAAAGTCAAACGCCATAATTATTAAAATTTTATTTAATTTTATTGAATGAAAGAAAAATATGTCGGAAATAGCATCTAATTTTAGAATAAGTTTAGATTTGTTCGAATTGGTCACCCTTGGCACGAATTATGGCCTTCAAACCGTCACACGCCGCCCGAATCTTGCTCTGCGGTATTTTGGCCTTTTCCCGGCGAAGCGCTTGCTTGGGGTGATCGACACTTTGGCATTGATTTTGGTGGCCATTGTGCGCTGGAAATGAAGCGAGGAACCTCCTTTTGTAACCATTCTTGGGAGATGCGTTCTGAGTGCGATGGTGCTGAGTCCCATTGGAATGTCCGAGGCCTGCGGTCAAATTGTTTGTTCGCCCAAGGCTTTAATACACCCTCCGGAATATTTTCGCGATAATATTCGGCATTTATTCTGATGCCACGGTCGATTAATACGAGCGGAGAGCGACCATCGGCTGTTATGGCGGCCCACACTATCACAATGGCTGGCGCTTGAGTTCTGGTGGCCAACCGAAGGTGCACATTTTCAGCAGTCCTCTTTGGCAAGTAAACAAGATCATCTTGTTTGTTTAGAAACTGCTGTGTCGCGGGTTTCGATCAATTTCTGCTGATGTTGCTGCTTTCTTGCGTCCACTTCATTGACGTCGGAGTGATGATACGAGTGATGATACGAGACACAAAAGATTTATTCACATTTAAATGCTGTAGTGCTCTAACAATAGCCACTTATGGTTTTCCAGACAAATATAAAGAAATCACACTATCGCGCTTGAATTCCATCACAAATACCTTTTTTTCTGGGAAATTCTCAAGCAAAATTCTTTTGTACGCTTGTAAACAATATAATGAGCTTTCACTGGAATAATTGTAACAGCTGTCAGACGAGTGGCTTAGAAATGACAGCAGTCTGAAGTTGGTTGCAGTTTTTCCATCTCACCCCATATGTAATAGCGTTACTTTTAAGTTTAAACATTTGTGGAAGCTCCTCAAAGTATGCTATAAATATGTAAAATTAAAAATTTGTCTCAGAAAAAGTCACTTAGCAATATGACTCTAACAACATGTGTTATCGGGACTTAAGTTCTTTCGAAAGAAGTTAGACTAAAGTTGGCTGCTGAATTCTTTTGTGTTTTTTCTAAAGAGGTATTAAATTTCTTTATGAGGCAAAAAAATTGAAAACATTTTAATTTTACTTTAAAAGATAACATATGTAGAAAAGATAACATATGTATTTGTAATCTTTACAAGAATTACAAAATGTACAAATTTATCGTGAAATTATTAGCTTCTCTGAAAAACATTGAAAAAATATAAGAAATAAAACTACTGATTTACTAAAATTTTTGACAAAATTTCAGCAAAATTATACAAATTTTTCGATAACAGTACGCTGTTGCACGACATTTTAACTACTTGTGACAGAAAGCGGGCATAGTATCAGAGTTGTATTTCAGTAGTTTTTGCAAAACAGTTTTGCCTACTTATTGCACCACGGTAGGGTATGGCCCATCGATCCAATGTAGAGTGTTTATTGTTTTGTCATCCAGATGAGATTTATATATGTTTTTTGTTAGCTATGTGTGTGTCTCGTTGGTATTAGAACTTCAAAAGGTCAACTGAACAAGCAAGTTTGGTCATGCACATTATTATGTTATTTTTTAAATTTATATTCGTAAATATTGTATCAAAAATGTACAGTAGTTATTAAAAAGCTATCTCTCCAAATTATCAAAATAGGCTGAAAATACCCCCAGACTTATAGCTATAGGCAATACATACATATATATTTCATTTAAACGCTTAAAAATGACAAATTTTGTGCAGGTGTAAAAATTTGGAGTAAACTTCTTGAACGATAATAAATTATTTAATTGCAGTAAATACACATTTTTATACCCTCCACCATAGTATGGAGGGTATATTAAGTTTGTCATGCCGTTTGTAGCACCTCGAAATATATATTTTAGACCCCAAGGTATACATATTATTGATCAGCATACAATTCTATGTCGATTTAGCGATGTCCGCTCGTCTGTCCGTCTTTGGAAATCACTCTAGCTTTCGAACGAAATGAAGCAGGTTGATAAAATTGTACTTAAATGTATATTATGTCTGCAGGATTTTTGGTATTGAAAATGGGCTATATATGTCCACGTTTTGGTGTAGCCCCCATATAACGGCACCTTCCAATACTCGGTATGTTGATGATTGTAGCGACATTATTCACAGGAATTGTTCCAAATTTAGTATTTGAAGTTCGTAATGGATATTACAGCCTATTACAGAAAATTGTCTGTGCAGATCCACGACTTCCTCATATAACGGTACCTCCCGATTTTCGGTATTTTGATGATTTTAGCGACATTATCCACCGGAACTGTTTGAAATTTGGCATTTGAAGTTCGTAATGGTCACTACAGCCTAAGACAGGAAATTGTCTGTCAAGGTCCATGCCTTTCTATAGCCCCTATCTCTTTTGATGATAATAGCGACATTATTGACCGGAATTGTTTTAAATTTGGGATTTGAAATTCATAATGGATAATACAGCCTAAGACAAAAAATTGTCTGTGCAAGTCCACGTCTTCGTATAGCCTCGCAAATAACGGCACCTCCCCATATTCGCTATTTTGATGATTTTAGCGACATTATCCACCGGAATTTTTGAAATTTGGTATTCTAAGTTAGTAATTAATACTACAGCCTATGACAGAAAATTGTCTGTGCAACTTCACGTCTTCGTATAGCCCACCATACAACGGCACCTCTCGATATTCGCTATTTTGATGATTTTAGCGACATTATCCACCGATTTTTTTCAAGTTTGGCATTTGAATATGGTAATGGCTTATGACAAAAGTTTCCTATGCAGGTCCACGTCATCGTATAGATCCAATTATAACGGCTACATTCGGTATTTTTAAGATTTGAACAGAATTTTTAACGGGTTTTATTTTTCTGTATGTTTACTTCTTCTTCAAGATTTGACCTTCTACTTCTTTCTCAGAGAATAAAGTAGTTTCATTCTCTTTTTTAAGAAAACTGTTACAAAATAGACTTGTGTCATTCCGGAATGAACTTGGTCAAAGGAACTACTTAGCGAGTGAGACGATCGAAATATTTCTCAATTTTAAAAGCCCACGAATATATTTATATTCTCCACCTTTAAAAGGAGGGTATATACACTTTGTCATTCCGTTTGTAACATCCCTAAATATTCATCGTAGACCCCATAAATTATATATATTCATGATCAGCGTAAACTTCTAAGACGTTGGCCGTCTGTCGGTCTGTTGAAATCACTATACAGCCCACATTATTGAACGTAGAGCTTCAAATTTTGGCAGAACAATTTGTATTGTGTCTCGGATGGTTGGTATTGAAAATGAGATATATCGGTCCACGGTATTTTGATCATTTTTGCCACTTTTTTCTACGGATTTGTCTAAAAATTGGTATTTGTGGGACATAATGGGTTCTAACTCCGGTGGCGGAACATAATATATACAGTTCCACGTTTTGGTATTTGATGATTTTTGCCACATTTTTTCACTGATTTGTCAAAAAATTGGTATTTGTTGGTGATAATGGGTTCTAGGTCCGGTGGCGGAACAAAGTATATATAGGTCCACGTTTTTGTATAGCCCCCATATAGCTGTACTACCGATAGTCGGCAAATAATGTCGCCGTAATCAAAAAAAATACCGAATATAAGGAGGTACCGATATATGGGGCTATACAAAGACCTGGACCTGCAGATACAATTCTCTGTCCTAGGCTGTAGTAGCCATTATGAACTTCAAATACGAAATTTGAAGCAATTCCGGTAAATAATTTCCCTGAAATCCGGTAAATAATGTCACTGCTGATGGGGGAGGGGGGGGGCTTTTAAAA